GCGGAAGTAGGCCAGGCTGCAACGGGCGGGGCGGCGTCCGGGGCGGGCTGAGCTGGTAACGGGCGCCCTCCCGGAAAGCCTGGTGCTGCGCCTCCCGCTCTGGGAGGTGCGGCGGGCACGGGAGCTGGGAGGGCTGGGCCGGGGCTGGAGCGATGATTTGTGACGGGGACGTCCGTGCACACCAACGACCTTTCCCCCGCTCCCCCCTTCTCCCTGCCCCCTCCTTCTCCGAGATCTTGTTTCCGTGAAAACAAACCATTGAGTGAATCGGTAGCGTTTCATCCTCTGGGCTTTTTAGTTTTGAAGGTATCTATGTGGACGTCTCAGTACTGTTTGGGAGAACTCTCCAAAAGCTCGCATCTTGGAAGAGAATTTTCTAGTTTCTGTATATAGTTGGTTTGTATCGGTAGAAGGACTACCCATTTTAACGAATAGTTTTTCAGTCATGTGGAAAAGATGAGTGTGGCTGTCACCTGAGCCTGGCTTTCCGAGATGTTGATGGGTTTCTGCCTAATTCCTGGTTGCTGTAGCAGGCCACTCCTGTAATAGAGTAGCCCTTAATTTTAAAGCGTGCTGATAAGGATGACTGGGGCTTGTTTTTTTGAAACGGGGTGATGTAGAGCCTGCTGTCTCTTCTTGGAAACCAGGCGATTATTTTGAGTACTTCTTGTTAGGCTTTTTGTACAGTTCACATACCTCAGTTGCTCTTACAAGTGAAATCATGTTCTCCCTTTTCTTTCAGATGAAAGCAAATGGAAGTCGATGGCCTAAGCGAGCACCAACATGACCACAACATGTCCCAAGAATGTGGTGTGTTTGGCTTTTATTAAATGCTTACTCTGTATAAAACATCATTTACTTGTGAATTTTTAAAGTGTTTTTCTATTGATAAATTGATCTTCATATGCTGTTAATTTGATTTTGCAGAGATGATCAGTAGTAATACTTAAATTTTTGCCTTTGTGTTGCCCATTCATTTCTGTCCAGAATGAATGTGGTGTCAAAAAAGGCAAACAGAAATTCTTGCTCAGACTGCTTCTTAAGGAGCTGGTTATTTACCTTTCTCCTCCCTGTTCTGCAAGGACAAAATCTGTAGAAATTGTATGTTTGAGCAGTTACATAGTAGATTTTATGCTTCAGCCTTTTTAAAAGATGAACCTGGCAGTTATTAAAAGACAGAAAACTAGAATGGCCACTTTGAGCATTGTTCAGCTGTCCTATCATGATAACTTTTTACTTCTGTGCTGCAAATAATTAGTACTTAACATTTCAGACTCCCACAGTGGTGTCTAGTTTTTCTATTGCAAAAAGACATCTACAGCTTCAGAATATTCAGCTACAGGAAAGATTAAAATCTTCTTTAATGGGGGAAAAAATGTGGTTTGCCTTTGTGCATTTGCTTTTTTGTTGTTTCTGTCTGATGTCATAAGGGTAGAAAGCCAACACTATTGAAAAGTTGAACAGTGCAAGTTGGCATGAAATTCAGTGGTATAAAGCATTAATAAAAACTGCATGCATTATCGAAGATTTCTTTAATGCTGAAACAGTAGCTTGTGTAACCTGTGTTACTCAAGGGGATGAAAAGTAATCCAAGTCTTTGAAGCCAGGAACCTCTTGATCAGTACTGGAAATGTGATGTAAGAATGATCCAGTACTGAGAAATCATTATGATAACTTAACCTGCACTTCAGGGGCGGTAACAGCCTACTCTGAATTCACGGAGACTAAATCAAAGGTGAATTTCAGAGTGAAAATTTAAGTTTCAAGTCAAACTGAAGAAATGACTGACTCATGTAAATTAGAAAGGGTCACAGTATTACATCACATGCTTAGGGAGTGGTGTTCCTGTTGAATACTTTGTGCAGTACTTGGTGAAAGAAAAAAATTGAGGTTTTTTTAGTGGCAGCAGCTGGCTTTTGTGACTGAAAGACTAGTTGCTCAAACATAGCAATGTACAGCAATGATGAAGGGTAGATTGAATGGAGTAGAACACCAATGAAAGATACTCTGCTTGTACATGTTGTGTAGTTATGCCTCATTTAAAGCTCATTATGCAGGAGCTATGTTCCACAACACAGAAAGAATCAAAAGTATCTTTTGCACATTTGGTTTTGGTTTTGTTTCACTGATGCGTCCAGCTTTGCTAGAGACATAGCGAAGAGGAGAGTGCTGAGATGCAGTGCTGCACAGTGTTATTTCCACGGAAGAACTATAAATGATACTCAACAAAACTTGGAAGAGGTAAAAGTTATGCAGAAGCTTTGGGAAAAATCGGGGTTGCTTTTGGCACCCATTAATGAGTCTTTCTGATTATTCAGGCTTTTGAGTGATAAATAATTTTGTTGCCTTTTTTATTTTTTCTTTTTGCAGTGTGCTAGAAATCAGTAATACTGTACAAACTACTACAGAAGAGGAATACAGATTGTATAATTGTGTCGTGTTTGCATAGCAGCTTTAGGAATGTGACTGCAGCTCTGGGAAAGCAGAATGATTGTTTAGCATCTGCTCACCAAGACAACATGACAAGCCAAGGGCTGCAAACTGAGCTGAGTCAAATTCTGAAGGAGGTTAGTGATTCAGTAGTTGTCCATGCTAAAGACATGTAAAGATACTCAGAACGTGATTTCCCAGTAGCTTCCAGACTGGGTGATCTGGAATAGTTTGAAGAATGTATGCTATTTCCTGATGAGAAATTACTCAAGTAACTTGATGGTTCAGATTTTGCATTAACATGCACATGTTCATACAAAAGTGAACTTGAGTGATACAAGATCTGCTACATCACTGATGGTTTCCTTGCAGGAAAGAAATGTTCATCAAAGTGATGAAATTTATTCAAGTTTGTCACAGTGCCCTTGAAAATACTAGAAAGTTTCATGCATCGAAATGTGAAAATCTACTTGAGCAATATGAAAAATACAGTTAGACTTAACACTTTACCAGTCCTGTTGACAGAAAACAAGCTTGTGAAATCCATTCCAGACCTTTATCACCCTAGGCACTGGGGTTTTTGCAAGGCTGAAGATGAAGATGGGCACTCTTTTTATATTAATCCATCAGACACTGGGGAGAGAAATGTATGTGTAATCGACTATGAGTAATGTATCTAATAACAGGGCTGCTCCTTGTTTTCCAACATAAAATTACTAAATCTTGTCTTTCTGTTACTACCTTACTATTCTCTTAAACTGTTGTATAATGCACGAACATAAGTGTGCATGAGTTACTACTACTAAACTTTGATTCCCACCACCTAGAAAGTGTTAGTACAGCCACCAACTTGTAGTTAGGATCTGAAATCTTACTTAGAATGGGTGAAGAGCCCCTTTTCAATGTAGGCTCTAAAAATAAGATTAAGCAGATTTTAGCTTTTGAATTTTTTCCAAAGGGATGAAGGGGAAGCTGATCCTTGTAGCTTTGTACCAGTCTCAGGGATCTAGGGGATGTTACTGAAAGCATCTGTGTGCTAGATGTGTCCAATCTCACATTGCGTTTACTTTTTTCCCTAGGAAAAATTGTTAGAACCAGCCTGAGACCAGTGGCAGTCTATGCAAGACTACTCCATAAGAAACAAAAAACTTTAAAAGATGGAATGTTAAGCCTGCATATAGTAATACAAGGTGATTTTAACTGTATTGAGGTAGTGCTGGTAATGTTTATGTAGACAAAAAATAAAGATTTATGTTTCTGTGTCTTTTTCAAGCTATAATAGCAGTTCCTTCTGAGTTCTGTGTTTTGGGGATGCCAGTTCACCCCTTCAGACTAAATAAAACCCAGAAGCTATTAAGTGGATAGGAGGTGGTCACCAAAACCATGGTATTCTCTAGTACTTAGAGATTAGGGTAGCTGAGATTTGTATTGAGGTGACAAAAAGTAGAAATTAAAATTTAGCAAACCTGGGTTTAAAAATAGAGTATTTCTCCAACATGGAAAACTTCCATCTTGTTTTATTATTACCTTGATCAGCTGCCTAATATGGTACTTTAACTAAATTTGAAGTAGAATGAAATACTGTAGGAATAACATCTGGAATTCCTGCTTATTTTTTCAGGAAGATTTATTGTAAATTAATTTTATCAGAAGAGCAAATGCTGAAATTATGTATCTTGCAATGCCTTGATTTTTCAGTACTGAATTCAGTAATTTACTAATCAAAGTCTAAGCATAAGTTTAGCGTTTGTCAAGAGGGAAGGAGGTTTAGAGCAACTAATTTTCAGTGATCCAACGTGTGATTACTGGATGCACTTAAAATCTTAGGATTTCTGTTAGGGATTATATTCCCTGAAGATACCATCTGCTCAGGAGTTTTGCTCATGGGCTTTGTTCTTTAAGTCCAAGACTGACAGGACTAGCTTTTAAGACTCTTTTAACTCAAGAGCAACTGCTAATGCCAAATTTTAGTGATGGCTGTCTAAAATGTTAATTCCATCTCAACAAAAAAAACTGTAGAATCTTAAACTTCAGTGTGTAATACCTGTTTCATAGCGTTGTGGAACAAAGAAGTACTGGGGTAGAATGAAGATTAGATGTGTGTAAGGTGCTCCATTTAATAAAATAGTAATGCTGTAAACATTAAGTGTGCTGTTAGGCACTAGGACTGCCTTACAGTTTTTGAGTGGCTGACTGGGCTATACCCTTGGAAGAAACCTCAAGACATTTTTTTTTTTTTCCCTCTGTTTTACGTAAGCACAACGTCTGACACTGTTGGGAGTTGATAGGCTTAAAAAGTACAGGACAGATGCAAAGGTGATCTAGGGGAGTGAGAACAAAATCCTCTGCTCTAGGCTGGTGTTGCAGCAGCCCTCTGGAAGAGGGCTCTCAGTGTTAAAGGTGCAAATTAGAACTCTATTTGAGAGATATGCAGAGAAAGAAAACTGGCTTGTTCCAAATTCCCCTTTAACCTTTTAGCACACTGCATCTGAGTTGACTAAGGCTAGCTCTATTAAACGCAAACAGTCTCTATCAGTGGGTTGCCTGTGGGGGCATTCTTGAATGTAAATCTGTCACCTCTTTTGCCTAGGAAAGGGGTTCATTTGTATTGAATTTAATGGTAGTATTTTAATGTCAAATACATTCAGATATCCTCATCGAGGAAAAAAACTGCATAGTCATAGCTATTTTTGAGATCGTAACATTACAGTGAGTAAGGTGTATCACTTAAATTGTGACCAGCAGTGGCAGGAGGGCAGTGGTTTTCTTCACTCTTACTGGGTCTGGCTGAGATGGAATTAATTTTCCCCACAGCAGCCTTCACAGTGTTGTGCTTTATACTGGTAGCTAGAAGGGTGCTGATCATACACTAGTGTTCTGGCTACTGCATCAGTGCTGTCTCCAACATTACCCACTCACGCAGTGGGGCTGAGGGTGGGCAGGATTTCCAGAGGGGACACAGCTGAGACACCTCACCCAAGCTGACGAAGGAGATAGCCTACACTGTACGACATCTGCTCAGCAATAAAAGCAAAGAGAAAGAAGGGAGGGGGTACCATTTGTTATTACAGTGTTTGTGTCCTAGAGCAACTGCTATATGTACTGAAGCCCTAATTCCCAGTAAGTGGCTGGATATTGCCTGCTGAAGGGAAGTAGACAATAAATCTTTTGGTTTATTTTGTTTCTGCATATGGTCTTTGCTTTTGTTCTACTGAACTGTCTTTATCTTGACCCACAAGTTGCTTTTTTTCCATCTTATTTTCCCGCCCCCCCATCCTGATGATGAGGGGAGTGATAAAGCAGCTTGGTGGGCACCTGGTGTCCAGTCAAGGTCAACCCACTGCAACTCCTGCCAAGGAGACATTTAAAACAGGCACATTAAGGAGAGAGCATCTGCCACACTGGCTTTTGCATCTGGCTTTGCAAGCTGCTTGGTTTGACAGCTTATGTAGTCTGCCGTTGCTTTCTGGTGATTTTTAGGTAAGAAAGGAAACTAATATATGTATGCACTGGAAGTATAAAACTTAGGCTGACAACTTTCTGCTACCAGAAAAAAATACTTAATCTGGAGAAGCTGTATCCTCAAGTGGATTTTAATTGGTACTACACCTGTTTTTACCAGATGGTGGTGTCAAATGAATCTCTGTTTCTAAAGGCTTTGCTCCTGTGGGTAATGTAAATAAGACACACAGGCAACCACAGAATGCCCTAAAAATTCAAGTTTTACTTGACTTTTAAATAACCTGGACGAAAGTATTTACACAGCCATCTATCAAACTCGATTTAAAATAAAGCACAGAGTTGCTTCATGAATATTTAATATACACAGAGCATACAAATCACATTTTTATGTTTATGTATGTTGTTTTCAAACACTTTTCTAGGGAGCTTTGAATTAAACAGGCTTTCCCAAAAGAAAATGTGCTATCTATTCAGTTCAATATTCACCTGTATAAAGATGATTGATTTGTCTACCTAAATAGTGATTTTGTTTTTCCCCCCAAATTAACATCTTCGGTATAATGAGCTCGATTAGAATAAGAATTACAAGGTTAGGGACACTGCTAAGAAGTACAATGTAGAAAAGAACAGGTCAAGGCTAGGTCCTAATGAAAGAAACCTGCTAACAAGCAAGGGAACCAATATGGGATATATAAAAATGCTTTTCTAATCTGGTTAGCAAACCCTCTTTATTGTATAAAATACGTCTTGCAAAGAGGTATATCTTTGTTGTAGGTCTTGCCAATTAATAAGAGTTCCATAACTTATCAGCACTTGAAGAAGTCTCAGAAGAGGTAAATGCAGAGGCACAAAGTTAAAACTGTTGGCCTGAGATCAATACAGCAGACTAGAAGCAGAATTAGGATGAGAATGTCTCAAGTATCAGTCCTTTGTCCATGTGAGGACAGGTCTGTATGGCATCCAACCCCAGGGTAAACTTTGCCTGACGTGGTTATCCATCTGTCTTTTGCCTGGCTCAAAAGGATGTACAGGCATTTTAGACTGACATCCAAACTCCAGGTCTGAAAACCTAACGGCCTCTAGGCAGTAAAAGCCCCAGGAAGACCAGGCAAGAGTAGCAACAATGGAAAAGGCAAGGTATAGCTCAGAGCTGTAACAGGCAAGCCACTTACAGATGATGTAGGGCTGGTTTAGGGCTACAGAGCATAGCTGTGACACAGTAAGCCTTTTCAGTGATTTATCACTTGTATGCATCTCACACAAAAATAACCAGCACAAGAAAAGGTGCCTTTCCCCAAATGACAAATGAGGAAAAGAAGCTTGAAGGGAAAGGAGGCTCAGTATATGGAATAAGTTGGGGTTTTTTTTCTGTATGGTAAGCTGACAATGACTTCCTTGTCCAAGTTTTGCCTTGTGCCAGCACTGACAACATGTAATACAGGCCTTAAATTTAGTCTTTCCTTTGTGGATAAAAAATGGTTACTGTAGTGCCTCAGACTTGCTAAAACTTGTTTCCTACATAGTCTCATTGGAGAGAAGACCACCAACTCAAACCCATGACTCTGTCAATTTCTCATTTAAATGCAAAAAAGTTGGCTTGATTACAAAAAAGCCTCTCCTGTGATTTGAGAACTGATACCTATCATTATTAGACTAGATAGAAGCCCATTTTCTGACACAGTGGAATAAGTAACATACACTTGGCTGATAGTATACAGCATTAATACACAAAAGCCCGCAGGCAGATGACAACACAGGAAAACATGAGGTTGGATATAAACCTTAAAGTAATTTTCATCTTGAGGAATATTTGAGGATTTGCAAGATACACTACATATAGATAATTCTCAGTAACACTACAAATCCTCCTAAAGTAGTACATATGTTCTACTTGCCTGAGCAACAAATGCAGAATAATGGTAATGAGTTAGAAAGCAACAGATTACAAGCAAGTGTGCAATGCTCCAGCTTGGAACACCTTGAAGAAGTAATGAGTGCTTTTCACTGCAGACACTAATCAGTTCTTGTATGGTTTGTCGTATTTCATTAGTCTTCCGAAAGATTGTGATGCTCTAGATTAAGCTGTATCACACGATCTTTGCCACAGTGATAGGGTTGTCTGTTTTTTTTTTAACTGGTGCTTGTGAGAATACTACACAAGGTCATAAATAGATCCTAAAGGATTGCTTGAAATTGGCCAATGACAATGAAACCATTTAACAGACTGACAAAACAGTTTGAACAAATACTTCCAAGTCAAGTCCAACAATGTCCTAAAATGAAATCTGTAGTAAATTCAGAAAATGCTGAAGAACCTCCATGAAAACAGAATTTTTACCACAGAGGGGTTCTAAGCTCTTTCTTTCACTTAGATGTGTTCACTGAGACTGAAATAACAGAACTGTCCAAAGTAAGCCATCAAACTTAGAAATTATGAAGTCCATTTGCTTTCCCTGGCATGATGAAGCATCTCCCAACCTGCAGACCAATCAATACTGTCATAGGAATATACCAACTGTACGGCCACCACCCTGGCTAGTAGCATCCTCCTGACCACCTCAGATCATGAAACAATAGAAGAATCAAAAAATGAAGTAGAAAATAAAACACATACAAGGTTTCTACTTCTCAGTTTTGTTAAAATGTGTATTAGTAATTCCATGCCTCTTGTAAAGCATAATTTAAGATGCCCTATGTGCACTCCAGGTCTCAAACAGTATTACTTTTCTAACAGGGCTGCAATCACCTCGTACGGTGGTATTGCTAGACGTAGAAGACAAAGTATCACAGGAAATCACTGAAGGTGATAGGGCTTGAGTTTAAGGATGACAGATGTAAGCACATGAGCTACCACAGCTGTTCCCAATGCCATTTGACAAATTCAATATTCATTCGGGGGATTACACTTAGCAAAAGTTACTTTCACAACACAAAGATTTTGGTAAGCTTCTTAATAAGTTAGCAAATGCCAGAAGGCTCATCCATGTGCATGGGAGACAGAAGAATGACTTTCAGCTATTTGTACAAAGTAATAGTACAGGAAAAGAGATAGGCATCACTTCAGATATGTACTAGAAGTTAAACCACTCAAGGTGCAATATCATTAGAACTTACTATTCCTACCGTGACATTAGAAAAAAATTGCAATTATCATACCTGAAATACTGCCTTTGTCATCTTACCACAGCAGAAATGGCTCAAAGAATCAGAAGGTACTAGCATTGATTATTTCAAATGGAAAGAGATTAAGGCAGGCTTTGCTAATCTAGTTTAAAAAAAATGCTATTTGCTAGCTGTCTTAAATCCTACTTCTACAAGATTCATTTAACCAGTACTTAAGTGCCTTGCTAAGCAGTCTTAATATGGTGGGTCAATACATATTCTCCATCTTTTTCCAGTGTGGTTTCTTGTAAGGTGATAGGTGTATTTCTGTGGTATGGAATGTTCAATGAAATAGTCCCTTTGGATGAAAGGGCACTCAAATTGAGAACACTTAAAACTGCCAAGGGAAAGTTAAGTCTGTATCACCTCTGGAACTCTCTGCTACAGGGTATTACTAAGTCTATTATTTTTGAGCTAAAACGGGTTGAGTCAACATTTGTATTAACAACACAAGCATCTGTAGTTGTGCTAAGCTAAAATAAACCTTGAAAGAGCTATTAGTCCTTATGTCTCAGGACATAAGTTGATCCCCATATAGAATTGTGAAGATAATTCTCCCCATATCACACTGTATTGCACAATTGGCCAAAAATATGACTCTTTTTGCTTCTCTTGAAGCATCTGGTCCTGATCATGTCAGCTAACAGTCATTTTCTGGAAAAAGGCCATTCAGTTACAGAGCAGACCATAAAGCCCTGTTTTGTTGCAGCGATTTTTTTGTTCATTTTTTTGGAAATGTAACTGCTGATCATTCAGTTTTCCTAAGACTTTTCTTTCTAGTTGTCTAAGACTTTAGGCAGCTTCTCCTTGATCAGTCACACCACTAGAATGGTGTCAGTGGTAAAATCATCGCTTGGCCTTCCCAGCAAGTAGGCTGCACTTCTGGGTATCCTGAAGAAATTGCTACCATGTAAATTTCAGTTCCTTCCCTTGCATTTACACACAAATTCTCAGTTTCCAAAGAATAAAAATCCATTCACCATCTTCAGTCATGGCAGTCAAGTCTCCACCTTGAAGCGTGACACCTGTATAGTTTTTATGATCTTAGTGGTGAGTTTTCCATCAACGCTGTTAGTGGGTAGCTGAGATGTTTCTTCTATTAAGCTGTCTTTTGATCCATTCTGTCTCTGAAGGGAACAAATTAAAACATGTTGCTGAAAAGGTGTAGTGAATTTAAATACTATATTTTGATAACTGCTGCTATGACAACCTTAGGCTAAGGATATAGCAATTTTAATATATATATTTATTTTTCATATATATATAGAGAGAGATATATATATGTGTGTGTGTATGTATATATATATACACACACCAGGAATATTAAAGCATCTACATTTATTTGATCAAACAGAACTTTTTGCCCCTCTTTCTTCTTCTTTCCCCTGCCAGCTGCTGCCCCTTTGTGCTACCTGGTTTCATATTTCCTATTCAGGAAATGCCATGACTAAGTATTTTATATTTAGCAAAACACTGCAATCAAGTGTTCACAAGAAATTAATGGCCACTGTTGTGAGGAGAATTTGGAGCAGAGAGAAAAGAGAAGTGGTTTTGGACATTAAACATTGTAATATTAATTCCTTCCACGGCATGAATTTAAGCCACATTGTATTGGGTAAGAATGAAAAGAAGACAATGTGAATTCCGAACAGGAATCAACCACACAAGTTACCTATTTCTACAAAGCACGTAAATGTGCTTAGCCTCAACTATACCAATTTTCCCTTCACTGATGGGAAAATCCTTACAGAAACATCAAGGACAGCTCATCTTTTCCAATTTCCATCATATGCAGGAATACAAATATCCTTGAAATTAATTCCTATCAAAGAACTTGTAGTGTGTCACCTAGCCTTGAAGTCAAAAATACATGTTTACTGTTTTAAAATTGTTCAAGCTTAAGGTATTCTAACTGCTTATAAGATAAAATATGACATATTTTGCTGACTGTATTCTGTGCAGTTTCCACACTACATACATATAAGCATGCGGGTTTTGGTATAACCACATGCCAGATTAACAGACATGATGACTGGCGTGGGAATTTTCCCTTCTACATTTTGGTTTCCTTTTGTGTGCTTGTACCAGAGACCTGCAAGTCCTTTTTGAATATAATTTGTTTAAAACATTGTGAACTGAATAAAACTATCAAAGCTGAGAGATACTGTACCATAATGTATTATGAAAGCCATTGATTACATTTATAAAAAGACAAGTTGTATCCTTTCCAGATTTCAATTAACACTAAAAAAAAAAAATCGGGGGGGTGGGGGTGGGAAGCAATGCTTCAAGCCCAAGCTACAAAACTCTTAATATGACCTCTAAGAAGAGGTGAAAAAATGACAGGTTGTGATTATGTGATTATAACTGCATCCCAAGCACACTTGCATATTTTAAGTAATTGTGAAAATTAGTTATCCTCCGGTTCAGACCAGGGTATCATCTTAAGCAAGCATCAAACTCAAACTGGGAAAGAGTCCTCCTGTAGCAGAAGCAGGTGTTCACAGGGGCATATGCTACAGAACTACATATATTTGGAAATATAAATTAAGTCTCAAGATAAGCAAAATGTAAAATTTAAAGTCACACTGCTGCTGAAAAAATCTCAGCCAGCTTTAATTTTCACTGACAAAGATCTAATTTAAATAAAGCACTAGACACCCCACCCCCCCCTTCTCCATCCAATAAAAAGGAAAATTGCAAAGGATGCACAATTACTAACCTGTTGAGTCAACTGAGTGCTGGGACCTTTCGCATCTGAAGATCGTGTAACAGGCAGTGGAGGCACTAGATCAGTTTTTGCACTGCAATTATGACATTACAAAATGGACATTGCTATAATGAAGTAAACTATAACTGCAGAGTAAGAATAATGAAACTGACACAGACAACTACACAGATCTGAAATGCAAAATCCAAAAGGCTTATCACCTGACTTTAGACATCCAAAAGCTATCATGCTAATCCTCAGTAGTTACTGGGCACCTTCAGGGCACAAATCATGCCACCCATTTTCAAGGGGCCTGTCTCCTGGTCTACAGAGGCAGCTGAACTTCATGCTAGAGGAGTCTCATCTACAATCAGGGGTGTGATACACCTCCTTCAGGGTGCCACCCAGCTAAAACTAGCCTCCCAAGTGGGTAATACCATCAGGGGACTGCTTTTGATATTTGAGGCCTTAATAAAACTGAGGATGTGGCTGTTACTTTTTAATTCGTAAGTACACACTTTATAAATCAGTCTTCTAGGAAAGACTGATCCACCCACTGCTGAACAGGGTTGTACTAGAGTTTCCATTTAAAAAATTACAGAGTTAATACAGATGATGTCTAAATTCTATTAAGGATGAAAGCATGTGGAAAGCAACTTATGAGTTTCTCATCCTTTAAGCAACTTCATGACCTACCACCGAAGAGCAATACCAGTTTATTGTGGCTTTTTCAGTTTTTCCCCCTTCCAAGTGGAACAAGCAAGCCTCTGTGTCCCAGAATACACCAGAAATGTTTTCATACTTGAGTCATTTATCTCTGAAGACCTACTATTTAGAGGATTGTCTGAATCCTATGCCAGCAACCAACCACATTCATGCCACTCTGGATCTAACCATGATCTCTGAACAAATTTTGGGCCACACTATACCAGTCCTTTGCTAATAACCACATCTGCATACTTCACTTCAGACAGGACAGATCTTTCACCATCAGAGCACTGGGACCGCCGATACTGACGGTAGCTTCGAGGGGAATGTGAATGCCTAATGCGGATTGGGTCCCCTTGAGTCCTAAGAGAGACACAGAATTCACAATGTTAAGTTAGTAAACCAGATATTTGGCACAAAAACATAAACTCAACTGCAGACTGAGATACTCTCATTTCTTACTGAAGTGTAACAGCCAGCTTCTTGCAATTGCTGAATTTAGAAGGCTGATACTTTTCTTATGGTCCTGTACTTGGAATTCAATGCTTTAAAAGTGCAAAGGTCACAAACTAGCATGCCTATATTTGAGAATGAAACTACTTATTAAAGAATGCATCAATATATACAGCTTTAACATCAGCTTTGTCTGTTTAGTAGTGTTGTGGAAGCACATTATAATACATAGCAAAATGCCCTTTCTGTGACATGCGGCTGCTTGCACTGACACATGTCATTGCAAATGTCAATTATCTCAGTGAAATAGATGTTGATTCTTAAGGAAAGAGCTATGCCCTGGCAGCTGCCCATGACGAGCAAGGAAAGGGGTTGAAAAGGTCAAACAGTGCCTTAGATGATCAGAATAAAAATTTAAAAGAAAGCAGAAGTTTGGGAAATAAATTGATTGCTTGTTTGCAATCAGTTCTCCCTGATTCCGTAGTGTAACATAACAGTAACATAAAACAGTTTGATGGATGGCATATAGAACATAGAGACATCCAGCAGGTTCAAAAGTGTGTGGAGAGATAGGGAGAGATGAAGATTATTTTTTTCATATTTTGGAAAGAGAAAACATTAGGTTTTAAAATTATTAAGTATCTTCACCCAAAGCATCCTAGATGAGCATCTGGAGTACATAAAATCTTCAGAGATTATGTGTAAACCCAATCCCATTACAGTATGACAGAGTTCAGAGTAAAATAAGTGGGCTTTTATATTAAAAAAAAATGCTGACATAAACTCACTCAATTTTAGTGTATGGAATTTCTTTCAATTGCTCCTCAGACAGGCCAGATGGATCCACAAGCTCCTTCCTAGAAAGGATTAGGCAAAGTAAAAAATTAACAGTAGCTACCAACTGCCAAACCATTCTTATTTTTATTGTATTAGGCTGAAAAGATTTACTGAAACAAGCTGTTGTCAGCCCTGAAGCTATCTTGACATCAAAATAGGAAACCTATTCAGAAACGTGTCTAACTTCACCTTGATTGCTTAAACTGCATGTTGCATCCTGTTCCACCTTCCTCTAACCTCCCTGCAAATTTGATCTTGTTGCTTCACAATATATATGAACATGGTGTATAATGAACTTTGAATATGCTTTAGAACATCTAACTACCTTCCTAACTGGTAGTTCTACAGCATATGGGGCCTCATCCTAAAAGTGTTAGTACTACAAACAAGGACATTCTGGAAGCCACGGAGGAATAAATCTCTAAAATGCTGTATTCTTCATTAATTATTCATCTACATACAACAGTCATCTGTATTCAGTGCATTCAGTGATCTGCAGTTATCTTCTACACATAGCAGGTCATTAACACCCTCATCATTTCCTGTGGCAAACTGAATCTGAATCAGAACTCAATGCCTTAGAGCCACAGTGCAGGGGATGTAAATAACACTAGAGGCAAACCAAACAGTCACTCAGACCCTACAAGGGCCATACTTACTGAATATGTTTCCATAGTTCTTCTTTAGCTTGTACATCTGGGCTTCTCCTATAAATATCAATGACAACAAAGGCAGCACTGTGAAAACGGTCATCTGATAAGTTGCTGTTCAAATAACTTTTAACAGCACAGACACCGCACAGAAATTATAGTAAATGTAATCCACCAAGGACTTCAATTTTAAGGTTTGTTATCTCAGAAAAGGCATTAAACTTCATTGCTTTATTTCAACTAAAAAGTCGTTTCTTGAACAACAGGCTCTCAATCACAATTCCTCTTCCACTAGCCTTCAGCAAGAGTGTATTTAAAATATCAAAAAACAGAACTCAAACCAAATCAGTGTCCAGCTACTACCACACCTTATCCAGCTGATGACAATGTGTTTTGGAACAACACTTCTGTAAATGGCCCTCAGAAATGTCCTGTGGCCCACAGAGCCCTTTGTAGGCAGGAGGAGGGAAGGGCCACAACAGGCTGACACACCAGTAATCCCTGGCCATTCCCAGTGAGCACCAGTAAAGACAACCCGTTGCTCATCTGCAATCGCATTACAGCCTCTCACTTTCTCGTCATTTCCCAGAAGGGCTTCTGCTCACTTAATTTACCTTTGTGATGTCCAGGACAAAAACTCAACAATTAACAAATGGAACCAGAAAGCATGCATACTCATGCACACTTGCAAGTACTTTAGCAAGTATTTCATTCACAGAGAAAGTACTTAGCCAAAATTGCAATATCCCTGTTGCAGACAGATGTAGTAAAGCAAGCCTGAATGGCACGCCTCACATTTTTCACTGAGTTACAGAAGACTGTCTCCAAAGCGGATTCCCTTTGTTTTTATTTTTCTTAACCTTTTTGTTGCAGGGTTAAGGCAAAACCACTACACTTGCTGAAGCTGAACCTAGAATTTGCCAAAAACCATGCAAAATAATAGATTAACTAAGCATTTTACACAGTGGCAGGGACTAGATGTGAATGGAGATATCAGATAACTCTTTTCATTGAGATTATACAAACTCAGTGTCAGCAGCTAGACTGTTCCATACCATCTGACATGTGAGGAATGCAACTTTTAGACAGACTCAACATGCAGTTCCCACTAAAGTCACATAATCAGATCATACAGCATGCTGCTTTTTTCCTTAATCAAAAAGGGCCTATCATATTCAGAGATGGTTTTGGAGTAATATAATCCAAATGGAAATGAACATCAAAGAGGACAGCAGAGTTCTGCATTTTAGCATCTGATAAATCATCTCTCCTTTGACCAGTGACAGAGCGGTATCAGAAATAATTCCAAACTGCTCTTCAGCACTAACAGTTTCACTGTTTTCTTATTTCACCATTACTGTGTTTGGCTCATTTCCAGACTTGAGCCTAGGAATAATATTCAGAGACATCTATATTGTAGTAAATCTATTACAGATAATGTAAAGGCAGATTCTTAAGGGATGGTAATGTTTTGGGTTTTTTTTTAGATGTTACAGTTGCAGAAGTACTGGGAGATACTAGTTTATTGAACTATAAATACCAGAAAGAGACAGAACAGTGAGAAAAAACCCTTACATTTATGATTCTCTAGTGGACCAATATGAACTAACCCATAACCTTCTCAGCTTCCAAGGTAGCAATGGCTTTCTAAGCAGTGTGATGCAGTCACCCCAGACAATTTCCATCCTTGACAGACTGCTCTGCTGCCCGTTCTGACCACTCAGGTCCTCATGACAGCAACAGCTATGGCCACGAGTAGCTTGCAGTCTGATTTTTCTCAACATTCAGAGATTTTTGTGGCATTGCATTTGTATTTATTATAATTCATTTAATTTTCTCTGATTTTCACTTCTCCTGTCTCTCCTCTCCTTACATCTGTTCATGCTGTTTTTAACTCCCTATTGAAATAGCCTGGTATGCAGTGGCATTTAATACCTTTTTTGAATCCTCAGTTTTGAATTGATTTCTTCTTTCATGGAACCTCCTGCTCACAAAACAGGAGCTACAAAACCTGCATTCAGCCTGGAGCTGGAAAGATAGGCATCCTCTTCCAAGGGTCAATAATCAGGCAGTGGGGACTGCAAAAGCTCACTGAAAAAAGGGCTGCTTCTCCAGGGACCCTTTGTAATGCTTACAGGCCCTAGTTTGCCTGAGGAATCAAAGCCCCAAGGCCACTCCCAAACCGAAGATCCCCACAAAGCTGAGCACTGTGCACACCACTGACCCATCTGATCAGTTCATGGCTTTTACTTATTCATAGAAATAGAACAGGTCAGGATGTGGCCTTAAGTCTCATGCTTCACCAAACATCATGTGAAGCCTCACCTACAATAAGAAATATTAATTTGTGGGGCAATGTGGAAAAAGAGTGTTTAAATAAGAAGTCATCTTAGTTTCTCCATTTTTTAGGAACTCTGCCTCCTGCAGCCAGCTCCAGGCATTTAATTCTGTGATCTCTGCCATTATCCCTCCTTCCACCCCTGCAAATACACTAATATGGAAACCACTGCTGTAAAATGCAGGTTTAGAAATATAGCACTCCATAAAAAAAAAAAAAAAAGGGCTAAACACTGTGATTCCTCAGAGCAAACTGCTTTTATGAATTCCCATCTCAACATTGTTTATTTTCCATCTGTTTAAGAAGCGTTACCATACTGGGATAACCTCAAAGCATTTATTCAAGTTAACTCTCCACAAAAGAATATCCAGTAATATGATACAGATGAAGTCTCTTAACGAAAGTTATTTTCCTTCCAAAGCGGGTTCCTGCTTCCTTTAAGGGCAAAATGAAGAAAAGTCTACAAAAAAAAAAGTCTTGTTTAGATGAAATGTAGGTACTGCATATACCAAATAGGAAACTAGTGTTTGTATAGTTCTTAACAGCCCATAACAAATCAATCCATCTATTAAATCTTTAAAGCCAAATCACAATTCCTCTTTCACTTTGTTTTCACCTTTTACTTGTGAATTTTTTTAGAACTAACAGTTTTGACATATAATGTATACTCAGATTGTCCTATTGCAGTATTTGAATCAACAGCTTCTGGACCGTCTGTACACTAACCAAATTCACTAATGCACAGGAAACCTAATGGGAATTACCAGTAAGTGGTAAGTCTCCAGGGGGGTTTTTTGTTTATTTTTATATAATTTTCACAAGCTCGAACAACTCTACACATTAATAAGTTCTACATTATTTTTTGTGCCTGCATCTGCACCCTTATTAGTATTTCAGTTTGAGTCACAAATGGTAAATTTAAATAGCCATGGAATTTTAATGGCCATTCTTCTTAATTAAAAAAAGCCCTTTGGCTACACAGATGTTTAACATGAACTCTTGAAAATAAACCCTGTAGAACTAGTATTGGAGCTCTATTTGCTGATTCCTTTAGGAGAAAGAAAGGTCAAATTCTTGTCATATATTTTTATTCCTGAGACCAAGGAGACACCACCTCACCACCACCAGTGATTAATAATACTCATTATCAAACAAATAAAATGCACCGTGACAGGCACAGTAACAAATATTTCAGCCATTACTTCACGCTTGCAAAGTGAAACCTCTTGTTACACTGATCATAATAAGGAACTTAATGTGAAAGACTTATCTGTACTACTAAAATGTTTTGTACAGGTTGTTAAATATGCAAACTGAAATGACTATATGACCAGATTTAAAACCAAAACCAACCATAACCTACACCCTAGGGAATCACATTTCCCTTTCTTCTGACATGCATCCAGTCTTGTAAGCAAACAACTGAGCCACACTAAATTAAAATAAATGCTGTTATAACCTACTGCATGTTAACAAATAAATGTCTTTTACTAAACTTTTACTAAAGCACTTTGCAAGTAACTCCCATTTTAGTTTTTTTAGTTCCTACTTATGTCTATTAAGAATCTCTGCCATACTTCAGAGGTTTGGGCTTATTTTGTAGTTTTGATTTTGTTTTTTTAACTGAAGTGTGACAAAGGACAAAAAGGAGGCATTTATTGATCACTGACACAGTAGGGAAAAAAATGAGAAGCCATCCAAAATATTCAGGATTTCCTTATTTCTTTGCTTCCTCTAGGACCTTGACTTGTTAAGTAAGATACTACACCTTTAAGTTTTTTGCTAATAGGAGTTTAAATAAAATACAACTCAGAATGTCACTGTGCTGCAAAATAAAACCCATTTCATAAATTGTAAGCCACAAGAGGGAGCCCGTGCTGTCCAAGCAATGACATTTACTTGGCCTATGGGAAAAAAGAAAAGTTGGCTATAAATTTATCTAACCATTATTAAGACATTTCCTAGTTGGCAGCACTTTCTGTATACAGTAAAAAATGTAAATCAAACTTAACCAGCTATATTTTGTGGATTCCATACAAGTGAGTTTTAATATCCCTGATTTTTAGTAATACATCATTGTACAGTTACACCTAGAAACATTTGACTTTTGTGCAGCTGAAAGTGAACAAGTCTGTGCAAAGCCAGTTACAGTAGAAATTCCAACATTTGGAATTTTAATGGCAAATTCTATTTCTCATAAAAGAATGAAAACTACACCACAAAACAAGACAGAAACGAGTTTTAGCAACATGGGCAACTGAAAACAGAATTCAAGTGGATTTTAGTACTGGAAACTTCAGTGTAGATTACGGTTTCAAGAGGTATAAATGAAATAATCAATTAAGGCACTACATGGTTTCTCTTTGTAAGCCTTACATGAAATGTAAATCTAAGAAAAGACATTAATGGGAGGTACCTGTGTTGTGTGTTATAGAGGTCACACATTACACCATGAGCATCAGGGCAGGCAACTCATCCTGATGCAGGCAGTGAGAGTGGGGATACAGTTTCAGTGACTGCTCTCTCTTGCCTTCTCTTCCAGTGCCTCATAGATGCTCTCCTGGCAGTCTTCAACACCATGGGTCCTGCCCTGCCCTGCCCTGCCCTGCCCTATTTGCTGGGCACACTGATGCTGGTGCTGCTTTGGACAGTTGCTTGGATGGCAGATTAGGCTGGACACAAACATGATACAAAACAGTGTGTCTATACCCCCCAAAGAATCCATTAGATGACAAACATAAATTAAAAGAAACCAGCATTTTCATTAGTTTGAGAAAATAAATTTTAGAAGCTGACAACTTCACCATGCCAAAACCAGCTGGTAGAAGGAACAGCATGGTTCCTCACTGAAATTCTGGCATCAGGATGCATTAAATCACTGACTGCTGCTTGCCAGTGGTAATTTGACATGGAAACATCTGCAGCTGGTCTCATCTGGAACAATATCATAGACATTATATGATTAAACAAGTGTTCATACATTTCACAAAAAAGCCTGCATCTATCACAGAAAATTTAAATTTTTTCACAGACCTGCTGCCCAGAAGAGGGGAATCGCTGTCCCCATTACAGAACTAACATTCAATAAGTCACAAAACTGTCCAGGACTCCATGCAAGGTGATGGAGACAGTTTTTGACCAGCTCTGTTACGAAGCCCTTCCTGCATTATTTGTGCCCTGAAATTCAAATCACTAAATGAAGGGGATTTGACCACAAAGACAAATCTGCTAATGTGAGAATGTGCCATGTGAAAGTCTCTGTTCCTCAGCAGCTGAGAGCCGCCACACTGAAGATATTCCTCCCACTTTTTAACATGCTACAGCAGCCTAGATTTTCATGTCAAAGAGGGCAAGGGTTACATACGATCGTGATCTGTGCCTGGATCGCCGGTAGTTTGGATCCACCTGGTTTTTCTCCTTTTGCCTCCGTAGCACAGCTTCCCACTGAGGAGCTGAGTCAACCATGTCATTCTCTTGCCGTAATCTGCAAAAGTACCAGCAGTTTAGTCTGAGATCTCTGATGCAGGATGCTCTGAGAATCAATTAGGGTTTTTTTTCTCACAAAAATCCAGCTATTGCAATGCAAAGCTTTAACTTTTCATTTTGCTATATTTTAATTATTGTTCCCAAACTACATTAACATATAAGAACCTGTATTAAAGAAAATTCAGATTTCTTATTTAAAATGAAACTACACAGGCCATTAAGAACAGACCCACAACTTGAATTTGTCTTCCCAGCCTAAGCCAAACATCTAGAAATTTTTTCCTGTTTACGTATTCTAGCACACTTGATCTACAGCAAGTGTAAGCGCCACATCATGATACATGGTTCTACTGCTACAACTTTTCCAAATGCTTTGTTGCAGCACGCACCCTTCCTAGGATCCAGGGAAAGTCCCCCAGGGATGCCTTTGGCAAGTTCCCACTCAGAGGAAGTGGTCTCTTCACCCGGACCTGCAACAAAACTCAGGATGCATGCAGATCTCCCTGGCTGCTCCAGACACATATAATCCTGCACCATTCCCTGTGGCTGTGGTCCCTGTCTCTGCTTGTGTGCTTCTTCTTTCTAAAATCCATTAATCCATTAGGGAAACATAGTACAAATTAAACCAAATGTCAAAACCTATAAATTCAGCATGTTTGTTAGCAGGCTGAAGTAACTCTACAATGACACAACCAGCTAGGCCAACCTGTGAGCCACTGTTTGGCCATTCAAAGCTCTACAGACACATCACAGTTTTGGGGTTGTAGGTATCAGTAGCATGATGAAGTGCTAAGGTGGAACAAATGGATATGCTTAGTCACAGCAGTGAATTTAAAATGCAGCAGGGATTTAGAAATAACCCTGAAATATACCACTCATAGTGGTTCTTGTAGGACGGTACAACTGATATACTGAAAAAAACAGAGGAGCTTAACAAAAAATGGGAAGACTGACAGATAAAAAAAACCAAACAAGCCAACAGAGATAAAGAGATTACACTGGCAATGTGATCGATAGGAAATGCAAAGCATGCTGCTATTGTTGCTCTTCACTACAGATGTACCCTTCTCCTTGAGTTTTGAACTGTATCAGGCTAAACTGGCTACACAGGCTGCTGCTCTTCCTTTAATTGATTATTCTTTTGCATGTGTAATGAACTTTGAGCTGGATCCTCAAGTACTGTAAATGGTCACAATTCCACCAAATGTTACTGAGCATCTGGAGAAGACTGCAACATCAGGTTTTGATTTCTGAGTAAATCTTTTTAAACCTGTAATCTGGTGATGGGGATTAACATAAACTGCAAAGGATTTAGTAGAAGAACTCAAACAGCAACAAGTAATGAATTGTGATTTTCATCCCAAATAATCCAATTTGTGGACACAACTATCATCCCACATGGTATAAACACAATCAACAATGTCCCCCACATAGAGCAGTCACTTGCAAAATAAGACACGTGGCTGCCAGACCAGCGCTGCCGCCATGGGTCATGGGTCTGACTGCTTGCCAGTACCTCGCCCCATCTCTCCCAAACAACTCCTAACAGGTCAAGGAGACAGCTGTGCTCCGAGGGAGGCATTCAGATGCTTGCCATAAAATAACCAAGAGCTACTCAATTCTTTTCAGGAAACTCACACAACGCAGAAGAGCACAAGGTCTGTACTCCAGCACACTTCAAACACGTAAGATCCTGCACCTCTGTGTTTGAAGCCACACTTCCACACTGACCCTCTCATTAAGGGAGTAAACACATAATTTCTGATCTGGTCCATTCTACTAATCTAGTAGAAGAGCATCTGCTGCTGCATGGCAAGCACAATCCTTAGCAACGTATTCATTTACCCCAAAGTACTTCGTATTTCTACTCTGCCTACTTTCTTCTACTTGTAACATACATAGTGTTCATCACTGTTCTTTATCTCTTTAATTTGAGCAAAATACTGAAAATCTGAATACATAAAGAACTATTAAAACAAGCAGTATCAACACACTTGAAGTACTGTTGTACTGCAGAACTCTTACTAGATGGAGATGCAAAGAAATAAAGCATTCATTTTGCAGCTGCAAAGAAAAGTACTATGCTCACATTTAACAATGTAAAGGATGACCAAGATAACACAATCTCTACATAAATTACATTATTTAGATGCAATGATCAAATCACAACAATTTTGGGGCAAAATCTTTAGTAACCAAAAAAAATCTTTAGTAACAAAAAAAAAGTGGAAATTTTAACTCAAAAAGTGAATTTCTATTTTAAATGTATTTTTGACAAAAAAGTGTTGCCCTTGTACTCCAATACAACTTCCTTTTCATTCTTTTAACTTTTTCTCCCACAAGGGATCAAGTTGACTTATGTCTTATAGAAAAAAAATCCTTTTTAATGGCATAAGAAATAAATCCAGTTGAGATTAATAGCTATCACAGTGGCAAGAAGACTTGATGGTAAAATGGAAAGTCATAAGACTATCATCACTCATCTGTTGACTTTGAGATATTTTTCCCCATTTCAGATGATATGTTTATGCAATGATAAATTCTCTTAAGACAATCTGAAGATTTGATTCTTTAAACCTCATTCAAAATATCTGAGTGCAAAGTTATCATTTAGTTACAATGTAAAACAAGAGGGGCTCGTTGGAGATAGGAAGGTCAAAGGCAGCCTTGGCTGCAGTGACCATGAGATGGTGGAATTCCAGACCCTGAGAGGAAAGAGGAGGTAAAAAAAAATATCACAACCCTGGACTTCAGGAGAGCAGGCTCCAGCCTTTTCAAAGACCTCCTTGGAAAAGTCCAATGGGTTAAGGCCCTGAAGGGAAAAGGGACCCAAGAAAGCTAGTTAATATGCAAGTATCACCTCCTCCAAGCTCAAGAAAAGTCATCCCAGTGAGTAGGAAGTCAGGTAAAAATGCCGAGGCCTGCATGGAAGAACAAGGAGCTCCTGTCAAAGCTCAAACACAAAAAAGAAGCATACAGAAGGTGGAAGCAAGGACAGGTAATGTGGGTGGAATCCAGAGGCATTGTATGAGCATGCAGGAATGAGGTTAAGAAAGCCAAAGCTCAAATGGAATTGAATCTGGCCAGGAATGTCAGAGGCAACAACAAGGGCTTCTGTAAGTAGAGAGGTGACAAAAGGAAGTCCAGAGCCCACTGCTGAATGAGGCAGGGGAGCTGGTGACACAGGACATGGAGAACGCTGAGGTACTGAATACCTTCTTCACCTTAGTCTTTACTAGAAAGACCAGCCTTCAGAAATCCCAGGTCCTAGAGACAGGGGGAAAGGCTGGAGCAAGGAAGACATAACCCTGGTGAAAGAGGATCAGGTAAGGGAAGACTTAAGCAAACCAAGCATACATAAGTCTATGGACCGACAGGTGCAGAGGGAGCTGGTTGATGTCACTGCAAGGCCTCTCTCAACAATCTCTGAATGATCATGACAACTGGAAGAAGTGCCCAAGACTAGAAAAAAAATTACACTCATGTCTTCAAGAAGGAGCACCTGGGGAACTACAGATTGGTCAGCCTCACCTCAATCTCCAGAAAGGTGATGTTGCTGCTAATCCTGGAAATCATTTCCAGGAACATGAAGGGCAAGAAAGTACCAAAGGGTAGTCAGCATGGATTCACCAAGGAGAAGTCATGCTTTACCAACTCGAGAAACTTCTACAACAAAATGACTGGCTTGGTAGATGAGGGGCTATCAGTGGACATTATCTGGCTTCATGAAGGCTTTCAATACTGTCTCTCCACAAGATCCTCATAGAGAAGCTCTTGAAGTATGGGTTGGATGAGCAGACAGTGATGTGCATTGAAAACTGGCTGAACAGACAGACCCAGAAGATTGTGATCAGTGGCACAAAGTCTAGTTGGAGTCTATTAATTAGTGGTGTATCCCAGGGGTCAACACTGGGTCCAATCCTGTTTAACATCTTCATTAATGATCTACATGATAGGGCAGAGTACACCCTCAGCAAGTTTGCAAATGACACCAAACTGGGAGGATGGGCTGCTACACCAGACAGTTGTACTGCCATCCTGAGAGACCACAACAGGCAACTGGAACCTCACACAGTTCAGCAAGGGGAACTGCAAAGGCCTGCACCTGGGGAGGAACAACCGCAGGCACCAGTACACGCTGGGTGACACCCAACTGGAAAGCTGCTTTGCAGAAAAGGCCTTGGAGGTCCTGGTGGACACCAAGCTTAATATGAGCCAATAATATGCTCTTGTGGCAGACAGCCAATGGTGTCCTGGGCTGCATTAGGAGAAATATTCCCAGCAGGTCAAGGGGCATGGTCCTTCCCCTCTTCTCAGCACTAGTGAGGCCAGACCTGGAGTGCTGAGTTCAGTTCTCAGCTCCTCAGTACAAGACAGACATGGACACATTGAAGGAACACCAAGATGAAGGGACTGGAGCATCTCTCCTAGGATGAAAGGCTGAGAGAGCTGGGACTGTTCAGCATGGAGAAGAGAAGGATCGTGAAGGATCTTATCAATGTATATACACACCTGAAGGAACAGGACAAAGAGGATGGAGCCAGATTCTTTTCAGTGGTGACCAGGACCACTGAACAGGACCAACAGGCACAAACTGAAAGACAGGAGGTTCCCTCTGAACATCAGAAAACACTTTTTCCCTGTGAGGGTGACTGAGCACTGGCACAGGTTACTCTGGGAAACGGTAAAAGTCTCCCTCCTTGGAGATACACAAAAGCTATCTGGAAATGGTCTTGGGCAACTGGGTCTAGGTGTCTGGGTGGCATTGGACCAGACAACCTCCAGAAGACCCTGCCAACCATTCAGTCATTCTGTGATTCTAATCAGATGCATCTTCTAAGTGTAGTCAAGTTGAAGACTATGCTCCAATACACATTTACTAGTCTACTAGTTTAATGTATTTTTATTCACACAGTAAATTTTTACGACAGTATTAAAAAAAAAAAAAAAATACATTTCTTCTGTGATTGAAATATGCTCATCATAGGTTCTTCCTCAACTCCATATGAACATCTGGTTAGGATAAAACATTCATATGATGGAGTGAAACCTAAAACACTGATTGAGATCAAGTAAGCAGTTTCTCTCTAACCTTTTTTCCAGTGTTGTCCCTTCAGAAGTTCTCACCTGCATTTCTGTTTTTCTCTGATAATTTGTTTTCATCTAATAAATAGTTCATAGTGATCTCATGTGAATACTATATTCTACTCTTCTATGATGAGAAGCAGATTCTTTTGGGTACTGTGAGTATTCAGTTATTTTATTGCAATAAAACAGTATCACTTTGTGTCTTCTTGTGCTAGGGACATGATTATCATACTGAGAAATAGATTAGTATTAACCTATGCAACAAGTTGAGTAACAGCCGTTACAAGCCTCATTATATTGTCCCTTTTAACCCTCCTAGATCTGGCTCAGCTCTGCTAACAGGAAGACTATTCAATGCCTATGTCCCTTCAGCTTATTATATTTCCATTGTGGCTGCTAACAAAATGCAGAAATGCATGATGACTGATGGTTTTCCTGTACCTGATGACAAGGAACAAGTCTCAGAACCCCAGCTCACTTAGTACTTGTTTATTTTAACACTGACAATGACTTCTTATCTGGTCTGATTTCAAATGACCACCTAAGAGTAAGAGATGCTGCAACATTAACATTTTTGATGTATCTTATAATTCTGAAAATGTGAAAAATATGAAACAATCCCCACAAATTGATTTTTTTTTTCTTTTTAATTTTAAGCACTTTTCCGTGAGGTGAGGAAGGGTTGGTAAAAGTCATTTTTTTTCTTCAGAAAATGATATAAGTGGTGTCCTTTGTACAATTCAATCTTTATATTGCAAGAAGCTTCTGACGACCAGTCTCTGATTTCCTTCACTTGCTTGTGGAGCTCTCTGAACATGAAGTTTCAGAGAAGAAAAAAACCTGGCAAGAATGTTCTAAGAGGAAGGGATACAAAATACCATTTACCTACTGATCACTGAAATATACTCAGCATTTCATTCAAATATCAGAGCTCACCTGGAAAATAAATCTTCCATGCACACTAGATTATTATTAGCCTAGTATCTCACAAGACTGTGCTCTAATTTAAGTACAATCCAAAGAATCTCATGACATGGCTCAGATATGCTTTATACTAGCCTATTTGAAAGTCACAGTGATTTTTAGCATCTCTCAGTATTGCAAGTAATGCTTAAAATATTACTACAATGCATATTTATGCAGCAATATCTAGCATAGAATTATTTTTAATAGTTTCCAAATATCTGAAAATCATTTATCACTCACAGTACTGCATGTGAGATAACAAGAAACTATGGCAGCTTGTGCAGACGGCTTTAGAAAATTTTTCTTAACTTATTTCTTTGTCTAGTGACATTTCCCTTATGCTCTGTTTCTGCAACATGAAGAAATTCTATGTGCTTTTTAGAAACACATTTTCATAAATAACTCTCAAATGTTGTTATTTCAAGTCCAACATAAAAGCTCCTGTTTTAAAGGAATTTTTTTCTACAATAAATTAGTTGTTATGCTAACTTCTTCATATCAAGAACAAGAAAAGTAAGATACAGAAAACAAAACTTGCTAGCATCACTTGATATTAAGTACTGTTGTCCTATTAAAAGCTGATGCTGTTCAGATTTTGGGTTTAGGCCCACACTTTACATTTTGGAAAATAAAAATAGTTATAAAATTAAATGCATGCATTTAAAAACAACACTAGTTTCAGATCCATTAAAATATTTTTACTATTCTCCTCAAAAATTTATTTTCTGCTAGAATTCTGCACTTGAAATTTTTTAGGTATTAAATATGTGCTGTGAATACCTTGTCATCACCATTATCCACTTTATTTGCATTAATATTGCAAGTCTTTTGTAGATGTGCCCCATATTTGGTTTTGCTGTTGTTAATGAGTTCTTCCCAAGCAACAGGAGTGTATGCATTTAATGCATACACCTATGATATATATATATATGTTTTGGCAATTATTTCTCTTCTTATTCAAACAATGACCTTAAGCTGCCTCAGGAGGACTATATACATATAAAACATGTTAGATTCTTTCTTACTAAGTCTATCTCAGAAAAGTCCATTTTTTCGTGTTTCATTTCTCTGCACCTAAAATACATAAAGGTCACCTGTTTCTCTTCTTCCGATGCTCTCTGTTGGAATTTTCTGATTCACTGCCACTGCTGGTGTTACAGCGAGACCGTGATCTGGAGAGGAAAAAAGCAGTATCTCAAGATGTATTTATCTACTAATGTCAAAAGTACTGAAGTTCTAAACAAGGAATGAACAATACTGCAAAGACATTACTAGGAAAATCAGAATTAAAAGACTCTAGAAGGCTTGTCTACACCTGTAAATCATGTTATCTTTTTCTCATTAACTGATTAGGAATAACTCTTCAAAAGTAGTGCAGTCAAGAGTACAGTGTCAGGTGAGCACTGTTTGCCTTTTTGAATCATTGCACTGCATTTTTGTTTGTTTGTTTTATTTTACCTCTCAGAATTCTCTGTGTATATACCACAGTGAAATGTTTCTTTGAGGTGTGAAACATTTTATCTTTAAACTGTATGCATACTGGCATATTTGTAGGACAGCCAAGAGAAATGATACAGGTTCTGGAGGAAAAACAAAATGTGCATCAGATCTATCTTTTTTTACCCACCTCAACTTCCATCTGACTTCTAGTAAGTTCGTATCATTTTTCAAATGTTAGAAAGCATGGAATACCACTAACACTATGACTGCTGATCTTTATAAATACAGAAAGGCTGAAGTGCACACATTGACAGGTGTGCGTACCAGCACAGCTTTGGGATAACCCAAGGCACAGCTACAAAGATGGTATGTCACATGAGGAAAAAGTAATAAAGCAGTTACTTCCGTATTGCCTCTAACTGCAGAGCTTCAAATGGCAAGGTGACATTTATGGCTTTGATCATTTGCTACTGAAAAAGACTGGTGGAACAGGCTGATGTTGAACTTCAAGAAGAAAATGGGTATATGACTACCTGGAGGCAAAACTCCTCTCAGTGGATAGAAATGCTTGGCCACTACTATCTGAAAGAGACCCTTAAATCCTTGATTGCCACTGATCAACATTTTGGAGCAGACAGACTAGCTGTCAGGGCCCTGGTCCTAGAAACCAGGGTTCTGTTACTGTACTGCTGGGTTAGGTCCTAAAAAATAGCACTCTCACTCAAACCTGGTTTGGACCATTCTTCAGTGAGATGATAGTCTCTGAATGCCTCCAAAGAAAGACATGTTTCTCTGCAACACTGATTAATGCCTAGCTGATTAATGATTGAAATTGACCAATATTAACATGAGCTGACCTAGAAGGATTTAGATATATCTGCAGTTAGAATCGGTAATGGTTTGGCTGCAATGGATAATAGAAATTTTCATCTGAGGTGTCTGGGCGTGAAATAGAAGATCTAAGGGGATAACTCCTGATGCTGCTGGCAGAGACACGTGCTTTTCTTGTGCCTCCTGGCTTTTCATTTGCTCTTTGAAAAGCACTTTCATAAGAGGACAGATTTGTTAAACTACACCTCGAACAAGCTCAGGACTGAAGGCACTTCATTAGGTGTAGGTAACAGGCAAGGGGAAACATTTTGTGACAAGGTTAGAGGCTACTGACAAGCACCAGTTCACTGCAAGTTCTAACAGTTTAAGGGGAGGAGCCCAAGCAGGATGAGAAAAGATGACAGAGAATTCCTAGAGTACAGAATAGTTGCAGTATGGACCTCCCCTGAGTGTCCTATCTGATCAGGAACACATCCCTCTACCCTCTGCCTCTGAAACTAGGACATTGTTATAAATGTCCTTCTGACACAGTGGACAGTCATGAATTTGCCAGTGAATTATGGTTGGTTTTATCAAATTTCTGTGGCATTAAATGCCTCAGTGTATGGAGTACAGTCTTGCTCCTCTCCTAAACTTGGGAATCATTATCTCAAATAGATTCCACTCAAATAGGAATGCTTTAGAATAACAGGACAATTAAAGCCTAGAAAAATCAGTTCAACCCAGCTTGTCTGAAGGGAATTGGCTTAGAAAAGAGAAATTTCTCAGAGAAGAAGCAGAAACCTCTCCCCATCATCAAATTTCATGGCTCATAATTTAAAGCTCAGAGGCTCAGGATAGCCACCTTCCAAGGTAAAAATACATATTTCTGGGTTAAGCTCAAACTGGGGATGAGAAAGATGTATGCTACAACAGAAAAATATAACCCAAACGAAGAAGGAAGATTAAAAGATGGTGTCCAAAAAAATTGACTCAAACACATTGAGTACAGAGCAATAAATGCCCTAAAACTGCAGCAGACATTACAGGCCCAAAAGTATACCTTTTCCAAAAAAAAATCTTATCAGATCTTTAATAAATATTCCACTAATCTTGAATCTCAACATTACTAGGTCATCTGAGCAACACTGTTCTTTCATACTTCCAGGTCATCAGAGTTACTCTGTTCTACCTTTCACAGCACTTCCAAGTATTTTCTTGTGCTGATATAAGCAATTTATCACATGAGGTACCAAGGCAGCAAAAATCACACTGTGACAGGAGAAGCGTGAGATAAAACATCCTATTTGCTCAAATCCAAGATAAGCCTCTCTAGCTTTTCAGGAATGAAAATCTGATCCACCTTTTGGGTAATGAACATCAAATTACCTTGTGCTCCCTGAAAGGAAAGCACTTGTGGGGAGACAGAAGAGGTGCTGAACTGTCAGCTGAGTGGCAGCTGCTCATGCTGGTTGTCAGAATATTATCTTTCACTGAATATTAAACCGCAGCTTTTACTGAAATTAATAAAATACAAAACCAGAAACAATTGTGGTTTCCTAAATCAGGTGCAAGAACACACATTATCCTGATCTCTGACAATTACAAAGCACCTTTTATCCTTTTTTCTCATGTTTTCTTGGTCATGCAATATACTTGATATTTTGCAGTTAGTGTATCTATATGGTCTGACATAGCAGCAAGAAAGAAGGCATAGTCAGTTTGGCAAGAAACACTGAACAACTACAGTACCAGAGAGGGCTTTGAGGGTTGGTTGCAGGATTTGGTAATTCAGAGCAACAGTTGACAGAGAAGGCTCATATTCTGGTGCAGTCCTTTTCTGATTAAAATGAGAGGACAGTAGCCAAATTCTGAGAAAGTGGAGAAGACCTATCACAATATACAACAACAAACCTGTACATTTATAATGTAATACAGAAGGCACAGCTTTGGGAAGAGGTCCCTTCTAAGCACTGGCGTTTTCCACCTGAGATGCCTAACTAAATCCTCTCAGTTTTATATGCTGGCCATCTATCACAGGATTATATGTAATGCTAACATCCATCAAAAAAATAATCTGTTATCTTATGTGAGCAGTTTCCTTGACTTCCTGTGATTGTACCCAAGCTGTTTTTATCTCTGCCAGAGCTCCTTTCCTGTGCTGCAGCCATGAATCAGATCCTAGGCGTGCCTCCTTCACAAGCTTCAAGAGTCTCTCACATCAAAATGTACTGTACTGTCTCCTTTTTCCAGCAGCCAGGGCAGAAGCACAGGAGCAAGCAGAAGCACAGCACAGGGTCATGGCAGGCAGATGTGTCAATAGAGAAGTCCAGATGCAAAGATCTGTCAAAAGCTCAAGTTGTTGAGGGGCACACCTGAATTCACACCACAGCATTTTATTTGGAAATGTGACAACTGGTCAAGACTGCACAGGTAAAAAAAAAGAAGCTTAAGCAAAAAAATCAGCAAAACATTGAGAAGACCGTAAGAAGTTGCATATGCCTTTACACCTACCTTTTGCAGGACAGTTTATCTCAAATAACAGTACACATGTTTTCAAAACATTAATTAGAAGTGGACTGGGAGACTGGAGAACTCAAACCAAAACCTGCAGATGCAAAATCCAAAAGCTAAAACTTCTGGAACTGACTTTCAAGCTGCAGACAAGCCTTTAGTAAACTTTCACCAACTGTTTCCATCATATTGTAGTAACAATGTGCAAGGCAGCTTGTAGGAATCTGTGCTGTGATGACACTATCCTACAAAGCATTTTTAGTAAAGTAAGATAGGAAATTAAAAACTAAACAGGTGGAATACAACAAGCCTTTTAAACATTTAAGATGATTTGTGAAAAGGAAGGAAGGGAGGGGATGCAGGGAATTGAAATATGATCAGTGACTTCGCTATCATTTCATGGCTGCTATAGATAACATATTTACCTTCCCCTTTGCTTTAAATCTGAATCTTCGCCACTGTTTTGATTTTTCCTGTGACATTAAGAAGTTTTACTGAAATACCATCAGGTCACAATACAAATACACAAGAACTCCCATTTAAAAAAACAAAAAAACAAAAAAACAAAAAACACATAAACAACAAACTTTACAAAGGTATTTTGTCAGCATAATTTAAGGCAGATTAAAAAGGACATATGCTTGTTTCCTTGTTTCCAACTTTTCAGGACACCTGTATAGTAAGTTGCAAAGGCATGATCCCATTCAAGATCTCATTGCAAAGCCCTGACTTGCAAGGTTAAGTATAGTGTATAGAGTTTCCTACTGTTTCCAGCATAACAAAGCCTGATGTTTTCCTCTTAACTCCAACAAAGACTGAATAAACAACTGGCGGCTGTTATTAAACAGTTGAAAAAGGAAAGCACATGAATAAAATCAAGCTTCAGGAAGACTTAATTAGGTTAGAATCTACCTACTATTGTCAGTCTTCACAAGGCTTTTAAATACAATATGTTGTGTGGTAGTCCAAGAGAAAACTTGCTATTGGCAGACCACCTGTCCACCAAGTATATCAGCCAAATGCAAATCTCAGATGATAAACACTTTGCATCTCAAAAAATTTCCTACTGTTCAGTGCACAAACACTGTTCTTTTCTTGGTACAAGACAGTTTTGCACTGCACATCTCTATTCCTTTGTTTTTACAAAGCCCAACAAGTCCTTCTGACAACTAAGCTATCAATGAATCAGAAAACACATACAGGAAACACGCTGCTATTAATACGTACAAGGGCTCTATCCAACAGGGTACATCAACATAACTATTGACCCAGAGACAGCTACACTGATTTACTTTAACTCAGGCATGAGGTCACTACACATCCACCATGGGTAAGTTTCTTCACTCCTGTTCTAGACAGATAATGGCAGATAAAAGATCTGGAGCAGATCTGGATCTGGAAACCTGACAAATATGAAAGCTCCACATCAAACTAGATTTCCTCATAGATATAGATGCACTGTCAGACACCCCTCTGCAAACACTGGTTTTGAAAGCCAAACCAGTAATCACTTCAGAGATGTCAGAAGGAGATGTAACTCCCAGATACTGGCTACTAGGCAGTCCTAGAGGACTGCAATGAATATGGCACAGTAGCTATGCCTGCCTATACTTCACAACAGATCACAGCACCACAGTACCTCAGCAATGAAAGCAGCTTCTTAGCAGGACAAATTGTCCCATGTAACATGTAGTCTTTCAGAACTGTATCAGTTCAGAACTGTCCCTGTAACTTACATTTCTGAGGTACTCCAGGACACACAGCACAGAATATCCACCCATTTAATTTTACTTAAGTTACCCAATTCAGCACAAACCCATTAAAAACACATTATCTCATAGTTGTATTTTTCCTGGCTTCCTCTCTAATGTTAATTCATTCACACATTGGACTCGAAGACAGCATTATGGTTCATTCCTTTAATCTTTGTTGCACATAAAGCAAAGCAATGTACATAAAACAAAATACTGCTCTCTATTAGAAGCTCATTGTCAACCAAGAAACATCCACCAGTACTTTCCTTCACCAGGGAAAAATAGCAGCAGTAAGTGAAAGGATCTTGCATGCGCCAATAATGCAATCTCTCATATTTTTAACATAATTTTCCCAATACCCAGAACAGCACATGAGCAAAGATCCTGACCAAAGCTTCCTTTCCAAAAGCAGATCTGGTATTCTTACTCAGGGGTTTTTTGGAGTAACAACTGCCCCCTAGGGGTACCCTTTTCCCAGGACCCAGCTGGGCCTCCAAGAATCTACTGAACACAGAGCATGCAGGACCTCAAGCTTTCCACAGTGAGAAGTTAGCAGTAATTAAACCCAGAGCTCTTACCTCCTTCGGACTGGTTGCGCAGACTCATTCTCGCTGCCACCTGATGGATTCCGCCGCCGAGAGTAAGGAAACTTTGGTGATTTATTGCGGTCACTGGGAGAATTATACAGCCCACTAGGGTTCAAAAGCAAGAGCAAACAGCTGACTTTAAAGACAGTTGGCTTTAAAGAGCAAGGCAGTTACAGCAGCTAACTGAGATTCAGCCTGCAAAAACTGAGAAGGCTTACACACACACTTGTATACATATTCAGCTATACATGTACATGTATGTGTGCATGCTATGTAAATACAGCAGTACTGCTTTCCAGAAATAAATATTTTACACTGAACCTTGAAAATGTAGGAGAGAGATCTCAGCACTGCCAAGTCAACAGCTCTAAGCTTACAAAACGTAGAGGCTAGTATAGACATATTCTTTTAGCATAGTAAAATTTCTGTTCTTTTGTATGAGTTATCCATCCCAGAGCTAGGCATTCAAATGCACCTCTATTCTTTATGTTTTCCACAGATACAAGTATGAAGGCTGTTCCTGCTGTGACATGTCTTCATTACAGAGATAATGCTTGGGATCATGAAACAATTTCAGCTCCAGCTCTCTGCTGTTCATCCACACAACACTCTATCAATGGTGTAGAAGTGTTTCAAGCTTCAGGTCATGTACTTAAGCCTGGGTGGGACCCAATGGGTTGGGTTGTTACCAAATTAGATGTAGACTATCAAATGTCTGTATAGACTATCCTGTGATACAGAATCATCCAGGTTAGAAAATACCCTGAAGATCATCTAGTCCAACCATTAACCTAACACTGACAGTTCCCAACTACACCAGATCCCTCAGCGCTATGTCAACCTGACTCTTAAACACCTCCAGGGATGGGGACTCCACCACCGCCCTGGGCAGCCCATTCCAACACCTAACAACCCCTTCTGGAAAGAAATGCTGCCTAATATCCAGTCTAAACCTTCCCTGGTGCAACTTGAGGCCATTTTACCTCTCGTCCTATCACTTGTTACGTGGTTAAAGAGACTCATCCCCAGCTCTCTGCACCCTCCTTTCAGGGAGCTGTAGAGGGCGATGAGGTCTCCCCTCAGCCTCCTCTTCTCCACACTAAACACCCCCAGTTCCCTCAGCCGCTCCCCGTACGACCTGTGCTCCAGACCCTGCACCAGCTCCGTTGCCCTTCTCTGGACACGCTCGAGTCATTCAATGTCCTTTTTGTACTGAGGGGCCCAAAACTGAACACAGGAATCGAGGTGCGGCCTCAGCAGTGCCGAGTACAGGGGTCAGATCCCTTCCCTGTCCCTGCTGGCCACGCTATTGCTGACACAAGCCAGGATGCCATTGGCCTTCTTGGCCACCTGGGCACACTGCTGGCTCCTGTTCAGCCGGCTGTCAATCAACACCCCCAGGTCCCTCTCTGACTGGCAGCTCTCCAGCCACTCCTGCCCAAGCCTGTAGCCCTGCTGGGGGTTGTTGTGGCCCAAGGGCAGCCCTCGGCATTTGGCCTTATTGAAACTCCTAAACTTGGCCTCAGCCCATCGCTCCAGCCTGTCATACCTTACTACAAAAAAGACCTCTTCTAACAGTGTAACTGAGCCTGTAACGGAGTACGTATCACTTTAAGGTGGTATACTGATGTTCCATGACTTTTTGGAGGAAGGATGCTAAACTCAGCCACACATTTTTACCTAATGTTACTTAGTCCTTTTCACAACATGTGGTAAATATGATATTCTCACCAAATTCCAGTTACTTCTGCTTTCTTAAAACCTGCTGGCCTTCAAACTGGATACACACCCCTTCACCTGCTTCTGCAGACTGCTGATTAGAGCACTGCTCTGCACAGCTGAAAAGCTGCCACAGTTCATCTCCACAAGAACTACTATTAGAAGCTATGAAAACCTCCGTGTAGCATACAGTGTGCTTATGTGTCTAAAACTGTGTAGTCCTTTAGAATAGATGGACTTGTAAAGACTCAATCCTACCAATGTGGCTCCGGAGTGATCAAATTTCCTGATATTCTGAGAGCACTCTTCACACTGGAACCCTAACGTAAGAAGCTGACACACCTTCTTTAAAAAACACAAATAAACATCTACCTTAGCAAGAGAATATTTGCACGCTGCCTTGTCCTTACTCTGAACACTTTTGATATTTAGAGAAGGAGCACATAGGGTAAATCATCACGGTGTCCCAAAAGACACACCATGCACCATGTCTAGTTCAGTGGCCTGTTTCCAACAGTGGCTGTAAGCAACAACCTTCAGGAAGCAAAAACTGAGTACATACGGCAGCTCTCCAGTGCCCTCTGAGTCCCCCCACTATTCCCAGCCCAGGGTACTTACTCTAGCCAGCTGCTACACCTCTGTCTTGAGAAGGCCTTGGGGATTTCTCTTCCACCCAGCTTTGCCCAGGAATCCACTAACTTTCAACATCCCTTGTAAATAAAAACCACAGGTCTCCTACTCATGGTAAGTCACTACTCACTGCCTTTCTCAGTATTTTTAAACAACCTCCAATAGCTTTATCTGAAGTTCTTATGTTGGAAGAATACAATCCTGAACTCTTTCTCCTTTTCCTGTACTACTCATTATTTTCTAGACCACATTCCCTGAAATTATCTCCTTTCCAGACTGAAGGAAGAGTCCTGCCTGGCCTATGCCACTGCTCCTTGTACAGATTTCTTGCACAGCCATTCACACCTCTGAGTACCTTTGCCGCCTCTCTAAAAGCCTTTTCCTGAGATATCAGAACTGCACTCACAACTCGTGAAACAAACATGCGATCCACAAACGGCATAATACTGTTCTTTTCCTTTTCTAATATTTGCTAATTGTTTTTTCTGACAGCTGAACAGGTGATGTTTTCACTAAGTTTTCCATCATAACTCTGCAGCACCTCATTTTACTCATAAATTTTTTTTGCTCCCACATGCCTCTCTTTACACTTACTGACTCAACATCACTCACAACCCAGTGATTCATCACTCATACTTTAGGGGTCTTTCTGCCACTCTCTTCACAGGCAACTTTCACTCTCATTATCCTAAACAATTCTGTCCCATCACCAAACTATCACTCATTTTCCAGGTCTTTGACAAATATTCTCAATAGCAGATGTCTATCAGCATATCTCTGTGGAAAGCCACTGGTGACTCTCATCCACTGATCACTTCCTCCTACACCTATTTTCCTAATTTTTTACCTGGTTAATTGCCCATGACAGGACCTATCCTCTTATATGCAATACAGCTTTGTTGTGAACCTGTTAATACAGTACTATAACAACACCCTTCAGTTTACTGACATGGCATTATATTTACCACTGCACAATACCTAAGACATCACACCTCATCTTACCTTTGTAGGCGATGTTCCTCCCATGGTGTGCTTGTTTTACTTCTTTGGGTTTCTGGACTGTTTTCATTTTTCATCTTTTTAAAGCTAAACAAAAGTACAGATTTTTTTTTTTTTAAAAACCCATAGTGTAAGATCACATGTTGTCTCCCTTGACCTCTTAAAAATTAATCTTAAATGCATACAAACATCACAGAGACCCACCCTGGCATACAGTTATTTGCCTGCTATGTGAAAGAGGGCAAACAGCCGCTATGTTGACGAATGTCTCCTAGAAGGAGAGACTGAAAGGGGGGGGAAAAAAAAAAAAACAAAACCCAAAACAAACAAACAAACAAAAAAGACAACCCAAAAATCAGCTCTACAAGCTCATCACTATGGTGGCAGTGAGTCAGAAAAAAGGTCAATTTTGTCTCAGAATAAACGAGAAGCGATGCTTAGGCAAAAAGTCTAACAATAGGGCAAATCTACAAATTACTCTTACAGACTTCCACAATGTACAGTTAACAGATTATTGAACCAGAGGTTTTATCTGCTTTTTAGTCTACATAGCTCTTGATGGAATTTCAATTGATTTACTTAAACACTTCTTCAACATTTTTGAATTTTTGGCATAGGTAGTGCCTGGTAGCTGCATGCTCCAGTATTTAAGTATGGCACAAACAATTATTTCATTTTATTCCAAAACTTCCATCTGATTCAAAACCTCCACCCTGTGTTCCTCTTTAGTTCTGTGCTTATATAAAGAAAAAACCAAGCCCTATGAATGATGGTTCCCTAATCACAAACCCCACCCCATGTTTTTTGTAATACATTTTTAACAACTGTCTCATCTCTTTCTCTCCAAGTGAAAGAATGACAAACTATTTAATCTCTCTCTGATTATCCTTATATTTCTCTACCATTTTTCCAGATCTACAGTACCTTCTTTAAGATGGAAACAACAAAGTCAGAGGTGATAACTATTCAAAACATGACAGACCACAGGTTCATAGAGTAGCATATTCTTCTCATTCCTTCCCCAATAACTCCTTATGGTTTGGTTTTTTTTTCTAGACACTGAGCATAAATCAGACAGTGTGAAAGAGCTGTCTTCACTGACTGAGGCAATATAAAGTATCAGGACAGTCAAGATAGTCACCTGGCTTAAGAAATATATCAGTGCTGTAACCAGTCTCCCACTGCATCTATGGGAAACAGGGGGAAAATCAGCAGGATGCTCCAATTCTTCTTTTATTCCTAACATTCTCAGCGTCAGGTTTTACAACTTCGAACCCATTAATCCTTCTAGATAGCCTGATCACTGCCACTCCAAGTGCTGCAAGGTGGCTTCCAGCTGAAGCATGCATTTTCACCCATCCTCTTGCCAACAGCTAATCATGCTTTTCCTGCATCATCATCTCTAGAGCTCATTTTCTACATGAACAAGAAGTTTACCTGATACAAAACTAGTGACATCGATTTCCACTAAACTCTTCAAGAAGTATTATTGACAGCAACCCACTGCAACATATCTTCCCAAAGAGCAACTTAAGCAGCTGAAAAAAAAAAGCTTTACAGATGCTCACAAATAGGAAGATATAAGCCAGAGCTTTGCCCAGAGCAGGAGGTGACAAACTCAGCTTTATGAAGGAATCCTGGCTACTTAAGTCACTAATCCACTTTTAATCTCAGCCTTTGGTTAATACAGGTCACTGAGTTAATAATTTAATTCTCCCATACTGAAAAAAAATGCAAAGCTACAGTAAGTCAGCAGGAAAAGAAATTAAATTACACTTTATCAGATAAATCATTTTCTTAATACTGAACTGAATAATTATTGAGTCATAAGTGCAACAGTCTATTCCCAGGCTAAATTACTACAGAATAATCAGGCAAATAGATTTCAGTTCTGTATTGCAAAAAGCAACTGGATTTGCAGAGCATAAGCTACTGAACAATATTCAGACTGAAGCTGGGCTTAAAAAAAATTTAATAGTGTGCTCAAATCTTAAAAAAAGAGAGAGAAAAATTATCGTGGGAGGTGATTGCACTGCATTAGATTCCTAGGTCATTATTCATTCAGAGCAGACACACACTTTACAGCTAGAGAATTAGAGCATCGCAGTTCTTCAGATACTAGTATTACCTCCAGGAATGCAGTTTTAAAAAGGACTAAGTTCATTCAAATTATCTGCAAAGGTTAGGATCTGAATTACACGTGAGATTACTGCTGTTGAGGGGTTTTATGGTTTACCTTGCATTTATAGCACTTATGCAGAAGTGACCAACTATGTATCTCAACAGTGAATGAGATGTTAAACTACAAAAATTCAGTATGTAACACCTACTGAAAGATGCTTTGCAAGCATGACTGACAATTAATATGAGAATCACACAGGATGGAGTAAACTACCAAACTGTAAATGCTTCACATGTCCAGGGCAGAGACACACAGGACTTCACAGGACTATCCTTATCAGTGCCCTTTGGGCCATTATCTGGTTTTTTCCTATTTAAAACTGAAACTGTCTTCCCATCAATTTGTCCTAATTCATGGGTTTGCAAACTGTGTCACCAGGAACCCCTGTTCCAGGTTCACCAGAAGATCAGGGTTTGTTAAAACAAATTACTAGCAACACTCTCTGACCTTTGTCAGCAGAAGATCAGATGGACCTGAACTCAAGGGCAGGATAAACTATTAGCAATGATTTCCAAATGTGTTCCTCTACCCAATGCAATACGCAATCTCTTAAAAGCTGGAAGGGAACTGCTGATCTACGTACCTTTTCACAGGGGAAGGTGCAATAATTTTGGTAGTTCCTTCATTTTCCCCATTTGTTGTAATCTGGCTCATGTTCTTAGATCCTGTAAAAAAACCCACAAAAACAGAACAGTCCTGTAGCATACACACTTGCACACCTATTCAGCATAACCATCTACTGAACACAGTGCAGCATGAGAGATAAAACGATACACAAGATATCTGATGCATGCTCTACTTGATAAGGGTGTGTAAGTATCACACTTTTTTATTTCTAGTTATACCACATCAGAAGAAAGTTTAATATGGGGGGTCATTCATTACTCTTTCATGAGACAGAGGAGTTTGAAGCTGTTGTTCTCAAAAGGATGCTATGCCACTGCCACCAGAAGGGAATCCCTGCTCAGTCACCACTAAGAAGAAAGGTGCGAGGAGAATACAGACGATGAAAAAGTTCGGGAATCTCCAGTGATTAAGTATGGCCTCTAAAACAATTTTTAGATTAGATGGTAAAGCAAGATGAATATGTTTGTTCTAAGAAAACATTTTAAACTGATGTAGCAACACAGTGCAACACAACACTAATATTTCCTAAGTTATGACCAGGAAAATAATAACTGTGAATCAATGAATTAGAAAACTAATAATGTAAACAGAGAGAGACACTAAAGAGTAATACTCTGACAGAAACATCTAAGCATCAGTTTCAATGAGTCAGAAATTTTTGGCCAGTATTTGGAAGTTATCTGACTAGCTTCCAAGTTTGTAACCAAAGCCCAAAGCACCTGAGCCATGAAAGGGAACGTGAAGAAGCATCAGGAACATGCATTCTTCCCTCTTTTTGAGCCCCATATAACAGGCTTCAAAGAAACCAATTTGTGTATTCATGATTTAGGAGCACTGAGGGACAAGGGAATCTAGACATTTCATACTGGGCTAATGTCAAAGTGGCATAAGACTATGCTCTACAGATGTACACAGCTCAGAATCTAGAACAAAAAAAAACCCTGTTCTGTTCAGCTTGGTATGTAGTAGTAGATTAAACTTATCAAGACAGGTTTGTTCCTACTGCTGCTGATTTTAGTTTCTATGCTGTGATGTTAATATTCATCTGTAATTTTTCTTCAGTTCACACATTCTCCTTTCACGTAACTGGCAATTTCAGTCATTTCTTACAAAACTCTTACCACCTCCAGAAGCAGATACTAAGTAAAACAACAGAGCAACATCACTGATGAGGTACATCAGCTCTGGACAGGATTCTGTGCATGTTCCTTGAAGGTAATGCAACAGATTGACTGAAGCCTGTAAGACTGCTAACAAGGAAATAATGTGTCCTCTGGGTGAAAGCAACAGCACCATAGTGTTGTTAATGTAGTGGTACAGACCCAAAGCCTTTTTGTTTGACTAAAATGAAAATGCTCTGTCTTAAATTAAGCTGTGGTGAGATTTTGCATTATAAGCTTTTTCCAAAATCTCAGAGAGGGAATTTCTCCATGACCTCCCTCAACTTTTCTCATCCCCCTCTGACATACAAAATCTCCAAACTCTCCTCTACTTCAACAAAAATATTTAAGATACCCTAAGGCATCTTGTCTGGTCATCAACTGCCATCAATTACCACTTTTACTGATGTAGTTTAGTCCTTCCCCTATTTAGTTTTTCAGACTAGTGCCTGTCAGGGGAGGGGAGCAGCCTGTGTCCTGTCTTGCACAGTACTCGTTCCTTCAAAGCACTTTTTGTTGTTTATGCAAGTATAAGCACTAGGAAGAATTTGGAATATTCTGAAGAACAAATGCTGAATGGGCACAGACTCACAGACAGAAAGGAAAGTAAAATTATGGCATTCTGAATGAATCCTCTATTTTATACAATGAGAGACCACCAACTCTCCAGACTCTCTGAAACACTTCACATCTGTCCATCTTTTGTTTTCAATAATGTAGCAATAGATACACTGCTACTATGACCTGCCTGGTAAAAAGACAGAATTACTGAACGAAAAACAAAGAAGAATTAATATGGATGAGAAAATGATCAGTAAAAGAATCACCAATCTTCATTAAGGCCATAAAAGACTGCTATAAAAATTCTTCCTCTCATCTCTAAAAAGAGATGGATGCCTACAGCCAAAAATCACAAATAAATAAGAACATGAATAAGAACAGAAAGCAGAAATTTCCCACCTTTAAAGAAGGTAGTGGTAGCAAAATGAATGGAGTAGGTCAAAATGTTAAACTACAAAGATATCTCAGGGTTTCTGACCATATTTTTTCTGCATGCAGATATATTTAGTTTTACTTTCCTAGGTCAAATACGTAAGATAAAATAACCCATTATAATAACTTGGCCCACTGAAGCACTAAAACCAGCAAAGATACGACTTTTTCAAACAAAAATAATTGCAATACTTCACATATTTCTGTGTAAGTGAGGTAGCTTCCAATTACGCCCCTCAGAATGCTCATATCTTGATGGAGCAGTAAGAATCATGCTCCAAAACATGTCATAGATATGAAACAAACTGCCAGAAAAAGAGCCAAGGGTCAAGTGCTACAAAAGTAACAGCCACCTCCAGAACTAATCCTTTGCCATATTGGCAACAGCCTTACCCTTCTGCTGACACCCAGTAGTCTCTGGGTGTCATGTGATGGAGGGTTATGAGACTTAAAGTCAGCTCACCTGAGCGCACAAAGTCTGTGCTGCCTTTGCAACTTCTTCAGCACCCTGCATGAAGGCCGGTGGGTGCTGCAGAAGTGGGGCACCTCAGTTTTTGGAGCAGCCAGTACTAGTAAATCCTTAAAGAAGCAGCTCCTTCCCACTGTTGAATTCCCTGGTTATCATTCTGCAAGTACTTAGTTAAGGGAAAATCAAAGAGAAGACAACATACCGGGGTGACTATCACACACAGGCAGAATCTACCCAGAAATACAAAACAGGTTCCTACTGAAACAAGACCTCGTATTACCTGTGTTTGATTCCACTGCCACCCATGAGGACCTTTGCTTTGCTTTATAATTAAAAAGCTCTTGCTGTACAACTCTTTTGGACAAATAACTAGATTAATGAGGAGCTTTCTATCCACACTTACAGAAACTGTAATAATTGTCTTTAAGTATGTTTACCCCATGTACCTTTTACAAATGTTCTACTAACATACACCTCAGTATGATAAAGTATCCCTAATATAAAAGAATAGACTACAGAAAAACTGTGCAATAACTTAACTGTACCACTGTTTCTTGCATGCCAAGGTAACAGGCCCCAAAAAATACCTTAGGTAGCCAGAAATCTTGAACATCTCACTTGCAGCAGGTCTTCCTGTCAGCATTCACTGAACTGAACTCTTCCAGTAAGGTGAGTGCACACACTTCGATTCCCTTTTACAGCCACCTTGATGATGACTTGTGCATTCAATTTAAATATCACAGAATCACAGAACTGTCTAGGTTGCAAAAGACACTGAAGATCATCCAGTCCAATCATCAGCCCAACATTAACAGTTCCCAACTACACCATATCCCTCAGCGCTATGTCAACCCAACTTCCCAGGTGCATTTTGAGGCTATTTTACCTCTTGTCCTTGTGAGAGCCGAGCAACCAGGCCTGTGAAAAACTAAGACAAACAGCCTGGGAAAGCAAAAGTTGAGGCTGATTGAAGATTTGCCTCAAACACTCGCAAGACAAAACCATGAGTCACAGGGTGATTTCTGTGGAGGCCGAAGCTGATCAGGCTGCCCGATGTATCTGGGGGAGAGAGCCCTGTGGAGATGGGACGGCTCTGCCCTGGGGCACCTGGGCAGATTTCAAGGGCCATGTGTCCGGTGAACGAACTTTGCTTCATTATCCACGAAATGCATATTAAAGTTGACACCCCTCAATATGCTAACGAGGGCTGTCATGATCATGCGAGTGACATCATCCCATGAAACACCTTACCCCTCCCTGTACATGGGATACGTAGGTCTGTGGGTTGACCTAGGGGATGGACCCAAGGAAAGTGGGTATAAATCAAAGGGGAGAAGAAAGGGCTCTCTCTCTCTCTCTGCCCCTCTTCCTGCCCCCCCCCTCGGCCGTCTGGAGAGAGCAGTGAAGCAAAGACGACGGATGCCAGCGAAGAAGATAGCTGCCTCCTGGAATCCTCACCAGCAGGAGCAGCGCAGGAACCCAGACCGGTGATCTGTACTCCCCCATTCCCTCTATCTCCCTCTTTTCCTTTTTTCTGTTAAGAAATGTAAAGCATATTATATTGCTTGCCATAGCTTGCTCTGTACTTAGCCAGTTATCATGTGTTCAATTAGTGCATTGTAGGTAGTTAATAAATGCTTGAACTTGGAGACTTGTTGTCCGCTCCAATTGGGGATTTGCGAATCTGAGTCACTTGTCCCCCTCACTGGAGCGGGACGTGACAGTCCTACTGCTTGTTACTTGGTTAAAGAGACTCATCCCCAGGTCTCTGCACCCTCCTTTCAGGGAGCTGTAGAGGGCGATGAGGTCTCCCCTCAGCCTCCTCTTCTCCAGACTAAACACCCCCAGTTCCCTCAGCCACTCCTCGTACGACCTGTGCTCCAGACCCTGCAACAGCTTTGTTGCCCTTCTCTGGACACGCTCGAGTAAATGTCCAAAACCTCAGGAGCCTGGCATGCTAATTAGCTTATCATGCCTGTTTCTTATCAACTAAAGCCATTTCACTGGTATTTTCTGGAAGTAGTGTTGGCATTTATACGTACTGAGAACAGAAGATAGCGTGATCAAAAGGAACACATTCAGTAAGAGCTCATGCTTTGTGCTGTGTGTTACTAAGAGCCAATAAAAATGAATTGACTTCCATATGTCTACAGTACCACAGCCTACTCTGTGATAATGTTTATTTTCCAAACCAGTTTCCCAAACCTGTAGCCTCTAGGGTTTATGCATCTCACACCGCATGCATGAAGCGCAGAAGCGGTCACATCCATCCTTCACAAACCTGGCATTTAGAAAAAACTTTCAAGTGTAAAGCAAAAAGTAAACAAATAACTAAATACATAAAAAATTACCCCAAGATTCATTTTCTAAAATTTAACAATTTTCTGGAAAAAGATTCATAGCTTTGAATGCACTAGACCAAAAGTTACAGCTATCATGACTGAGGTTGGTAAGGCAGAGTAATGATAGGTGTGGGTGGTAATATGTAAGTTAGTCAGGGCAGGGACTGTGACTGCCAGTGGTTGCTTAGGGACTATTATAATACAGACAGTACTGTAATTTTAATACTCACTCCCTATTCTCTACCTGGCTTTTATATCAGAATGCCAGCACTTACTTTACACTATTTTATACAACTGCCCAGCATGCAAGGGAGAGTCGCATCAAATCCCAAGCTAACAAACAACAGCAAACCCTAAGCAATGTGTTTTTCACCACTGAATTAAACTCAGACCCACAGCAACAGACACATCAATGTTTGTCTAGGGAGGACACTTCCAGGAAGCTTTTCACGTGCAGCATCCAGACAAACAAATAATGAATTCTTTCACTCTACTCGGTGCTGTGAAAGCTGAACATTACCACTCTTGCCCTGAGAGGGCAGAACAGAATAATGAAAGATCCTGTTCCACCTCTGAGTTTATGATTTGCAACCAGAACTAAATGCAACTGTTATTCTCTCTCAGCTGAAAGGGAACAGGGAGAATAAGCAAACAAAACAAGCTACCAATATCTCACATACAAGACAGTACTGAACAAAACAAAAAAACCCTTCTGCGACTTGAATGCCAACCTTAACATACAGACACACACAAAAGAGCACTAATATAAGAATCCTTGTCTGATCTTTTCCATTAACTCTAGAACCACTGAGATATTAAGCAAGTAACAAAAGGGAGGTTATTGCATTTTAAATCACTGTACTCTGGATTCTAGGAAAATAATCTGCCACACTAAAGCCAAACTGTCTGCACTGCCTATCCTATCAGGGGAATCAGTCAATGGAGCAGCTTTTATACAAGGAAGCTAGCTTCTCTCTGTCCACAGTATCATCTCCTTCAATCCCTCTCTGAAAGCACAACTATTTTTATTGAAAACATAAAAGTAAATATTTTTTCTATCATTGTCTTGGTACTTACTCCAACTCTTAACTCAGAGTTCACCAAGTGGCTGCAGTCCTAAGGACTTTAGCATACTTTAATGCACCAATGAGTCAAAGAAACATTATTAGTCACTCTGCTCTGTGAAAGATAGTTAACCTCTACCTTCAGTGACAGAAAAAAACCATAAAAAACACATACTATATAACTGCTTATAATACCAGAACACCTATACAAAAAGAAGTAACAACAGAAAACATTTTAATGAGATGCCAGAGGTTAGAGGCTTTAGCACTTCACCCACACTTCTATGATAGAAGCAATGCAAACTGCATATGCTACAGCCATGCATTTGTAGCTACTGGTTCATCTAACTGCCCCCAAAACCACTGCTGTGGCTGGTCCCATAAAACCAAAACAAAATCAGAATGGCTAATTGAACTGGCTGCAGAAAGGAAGCCTTTCATGCACTTAATTTTGCAATCTTGAGAAAAGGAAAAAAAGTACAGAAGCAGATGTGGAAAGATGCTGAACTCCGAGAAGATGGAAGTAAGTTACTGTGTAAGAACTATTCGTTGTTACCTGGTTTTGCGCTTTGGGAGAATAAATGGAGCTCTGATTTTCATTCCTAAAAGATGAATTATAAACCATGTCTACCTGGATCCTAATTTAAGTGGCATCTGGCAGGAAACACCTTAGGAATTGTGTAATACATGCAAACTAAAACCACCCTGTTTAAAATATTGAACAAGGCATGTTTGATCTTATTATACCATACTAGAGGCACAAAATCAAAAACAAAGGACTAGCCATCAATGATAACCATCGGCATAATCTCATTATGAAAAAGGAATATTTATTTTAAGAAGAAATGTCTTATTATTCTCTCAAACATTTCAGTCAGGGATAGTTTTAAGTAACTCATAAAACTGTTTACACCACTATGCTCATTTCCAATATAAAAAATATTCTATAAAAGTAAAATCTACATTGGGTTAGTATTTTTAAACAAGTGATGCTTGTTTACATATCAAGCAGGCTTGATTTATTGTGCAAAATGGACTTTGCTACATCCAAGAACCAGTTTAGTTGAAAAGGGGTGGATTTAACCTTGTGACATGCAACAGACTGTCACACGGTGTCTGAGGGACAAGTAGTCTTAAGTCTGCCTGCAGCATCAGAAAGTCTCTTTAAATGAAGAAAAAGTACAGGATGTTTATCACTCTGAATACCCAAATACAAAATCAAAACATAGAGTAAAAAATACACTCATTTGTAGGGAAAGATGAAACTTGAATGACATAGCTCTCTTCCGTAGCCCATATTTTAAGTGGCAAACAAAACAAACTCACTTAGTCATCTCAGATAATACACCTGCCCCAGTGAAAAATTACTGCATGCTTGGAACATGTAGGTAATCTATTAAATTGAATTATAAGCAAAATAACCCAGATGGGTGATACAGATTACACAAATACATGTGAGTAAGATGGTGAAGAAGCCTTTTGTTTTAAAGTAAAACAAAACATTTAAATCCATCAAAACAACAAACACCATATCGCCCAGAGAATTCTGCATCATGTTACATCAGCAGAGCAGGCCACAGGAAGGTTTCAGTTTTTCTCACAATGTCAGTCAAAAAGACCCAAAAAAAAATGAACAAGCACAACACACACAACCTTGCAGCAATATAGACTGACTCTTACTGTCTGTGCTAAGGCAAATACTATCTTCAACTAAGGGCTAAGTTTCAGCTGACAAGTTTACCTCTGAATAGCCACACAATTTTCTGCACAACTGAGTTTGAAATAATGAGGTGGGAAATGCTGTTCATCTTGAACTACCACCCTACAAATAGGACAGCCCCGCTGAACAAAAGTCTAAGTCACTAGGTTCAAGAGTGAACAGCTTTTTGTCTTCTTAGGTCCCCACTGACAACTACAGACACAACAGAAAGATACCATAATCAGAAAGCAAAGCAATCCTTCTCTTTTTATGCTTAACTAAATAATATAAAATTAAAAAAAAAAAAAAAAAGTTGTAAACTGCTTGTATTTTCCAAGGGCAATACTTCTATTTATACTACACTTGAAGATGCTACAGCTAAAACGCAGAACATACCAGAGTTGTTTTGGAGTCAAAAGATGGCATCCAGAATAGACATGGGAGGTTTCCAGGTGTACATACCTGCTCTCTTTAAAAAGGGTGACTCTCAAAAGTTTACAGTGCCATAATAAGCCGTGATGAAGACAAATCTTGCTTCTATTTTGAAGTTCAGACAAGTTTTTTCTCCAACTGCTAACACACATACATACACACTCAAGTCCATGCATTAATTTGTCTGAAATCTGCATGACTTCTGTCACAGATGAAGCTAAAAATACATGCATAATCACTGTAAAGCTGGATCTTGACATTATTAGAAAAGCTTTCTGTCTCTATTACTAAATTTCAGGAAACATCCATTATTCTGGGAATGACTTCTGTGATCTGTGCTTAATCTTACACTTTTCCTCTAGCACCTGTAAAAACTTCCAACCTCCCCTGACATCTTTAGCATACAAAACAGAATTACAGCTCACACATCTGAAGCAACTTAAAACTGCAGAGAGCATGGCACTAACTTCTGTTCCACTTCATGTTACAATAAAGGGATACTGTCCTTGAACTGGAAAAAAAAATGTACAATAGAGAAACCTTGAGTGAAGCAGCTGAAACAATGGGATACCAACCAAGACACACAGGTGTAAAACGCATGTTCTCACTGCCTGTTTTCAAACTTCCCTTTCATACTTTATGTTAGACCTACAAACATGGGGTTGTATCATGTTTGATCCACACCATCTCTTTTACATTTATCCACAAAGCGGGAGTCTTCTGATCCAGTTAAGGTTAGGTATAAATACTGACCTAAGGTAAGAGAAAATCCATTCTGAGAGATCCTTGAGGACAATGGAGCAGCTCTCAGTCACCTCTTAAAAACAAGACGAACCAAAGACGACCTCTCTCCATAGGCCCAGTAGAGAAGGACTTACCTGTCTGTTGTGTTCTTTTGGGGTAAGTCTTACTGCGACTTCTTTCAATGCACTGGTCAGGCCGTGGGAGCTGCACAGAAGGGTCTCTGGTCATTTGCAAAGACGTCCTGCCACTTGAAAATGCAACCAAATCATGGGAAAATATTTGCAAAAATTATCAAAGAAAGACAGGATCTTTAGACTGAAAAAAATGCATGGGGTTTGAGCAGCATGTTTTGTTAGCTATTCAATTCTCATGCCAGCTCTGATTCTTCTGCTGAGTAGCACTAACCTGACTTTTGTTTTGAATCAGTTACTGGCACAAGCATCAACAGATTGTGCCAACTTCTTCTATATTCAGCATTTTCAAGAGGAGCTAAGCAACTAAATCAAAATCCTGATTTATCAGAAATAGGCTAAGACATATTGTAACCTTCTGTAACCTCCAGTATTCTAACATTTGATTTTCTTAAATAATTTAATTACTTCCTGAACTCTTTCTGTAAGTTTTCATCTCAGGAAAACATATTTTTAACATTGTTCAGTTCCAGTCAGTAAGGGGCCACTTCTCTGCCATGTGGAATGACAACCCTAAAGGGCATGGAAAATGTTTGCAATGCAAACTGTAATAAAGTACTCTTGCTAGCACTTGATAATAAATCGAACAGATGTCCTGATTCCCGTTTACAGTAAGACTTTTCATTGTACCATTTATTAAGTAATTTTTTTAATGCTCATTTTAATGTTTGTCTCCATATGACTAAGCAGAATATAGTGTACAAAAATGTAAAACAAGTCTCATATTCATATAAGCTCAGGCCTAGAACTGGCATAGTCATCTCTCCATCAGTAACACCTTCCTTACAGGCCAGATCTTACATCCAAGGGTAATAGACAGTTGACTATGAATTCTGATTGATTGAGGACAAGTATAATAGAGCTACTGTTACACATTGCTGTTAGTACCAACCACAGATACTAACTCAAATCCAGGAGTTGCTAGAGAAATTGGGCATTTTCTTGTTTTTAGAAAGTCTTCCTAGAAGGCAATGACAAAGAACTTCTGATGACTGTCAGCCTTACTCATTATAATCCATGTATTTCTTGAGTTATGGCAGAAATACAGACAGACAGACAAGCCAAAAATAAACCTAAACAAACCTTGTATATTTGCAGGCCGTGGAAAAAAATTCTAGACTTTGCCATTATATTAAAGAGGTCCCTTTCACCCAGCAGCTTCAAAATAACTCTGCCAGATGAAGAACTATTTTTATCATCACTTGACCAACAGGAAAAATGAAAATGGCAAGAGAAAGGGGCCTGGCTTTCAGATGTGGTTTTGATTTGCTGCTTTCCACTCTCCCTTTCAGGTTCACTGAATATGCAACTCTAAAGCAATCCTAAAAATCAGACCCTAAATTATTTGGCACTAATGTGGCAGAATTGCATTTAAAACAGTGATTGCCAATTGCCAAATCAAGTGCCTTACTTGACAAAGATCCTGTCATTTCAACAGACTTAAAAGTATAAAATCTCACGAAAATTCAGTAACAACTACTGGGTTTCTGATGTTTTACAGTTTTAACTACCTCCTACATTCTGCTAGTCCTTTGTGGCACAGCACCGAGAGGGTCTTAAACCCACTCTCCCTGACACATCTTCCTCTGTATCGCAGTAGTAACTGCTCTTCATGTCACACTGTCAACTTGGTTAACTCAGGCTAAAACTGAGACTAAGGGCTTCCTATACACCCGTAGTCTGAAGTTTACTGCAACTTTCAAGGCTTGCAGCCTTGAATGGTTAGCCAATTTTGCCAGCTTTTACAGTCCGAAAAGATACCTCCATCTTCTTTATCTGCCCTAATCTTTATTCTTAAATCAACAGCACTGCACTAGCAGTACTGCTACAGGATTAGACATAATCATTCAGATTGAGAGCCCTTACCATAGCTCAGCTGCAACTGTAAAGAAGGGCATCAAAGTTACAGACTTTATACATTTCTTTGCACCAGCCATTTCCTAATTCCCAGAAGAAAGGCGGCAGCCAACATGCCTCCTCGTTTTGGTATTCCCCAGTTGTCAGGAAAAACCCTTTAGGACATGAACATAATTTCAGGATTTAGAAGGAGATTTTGACTCCTTATGAGAACACTGCCGCCAAGGCTGCTCTCACTTTCACCATGGGCTACAGCAGGCCCTATCCAACTCTGGGAATCTGGAGAATGAGAAGTAACTCACATTTGTCCCAAAAACTGCCAGACTCGAAGGTGGAGTCTGTTAAAATGGCCCTGATTCATGTTTTGTCAGCAGAACGGCTCTGAGTCATAGCCTGGGTGGGGTTTTTCTTTGATTGGAAAAAGGGGGAAAAAAGAGGGAATGAGGAAGGAATTAATTGAAGTTTAAACAATGAAATAAATTCACCTGTACCGATGTTTATAACCTACGGATCCAAACTTGCTGAATTTTCTTGATAGAGAGTTTGATTCATTCTCTGGCACTCTACGTAGTTTGAAAAATAAAACAATAGAGTAAGTTACACAGACAGGTCTCAATTACAGTCTCCTTCCTAAGAAAAGAGAAATATAAACTTCAAGTTCAAAAAAAAAAAGTTTTTTCTGCTAGTTCCTCTTCAGCTCTACTTCCAAGCAGACTCTTACAGGGTTGAGAGCTCCACAAAGCTGCATGTTAATGTTCTCCTCTTTTGACAACACACCTTTCAGGATCTACTGTAAACTGCTGCCAACAGCAGCCTTTCACTTAATATTTCAGAGGAGCAGGCGAAAACATCATGCCATAGTAATGACGGTGCAGGAGGGATTCTGAGCTTACTCATTGACAGCACTGCTAGCGCCAGCCCCAAGCATCCCATCAACCAGTTCCTAGCTAGATACCTTTGCACCCTTGCACATTCCTGTTAGTGTTTTTATAACAGTAAAAGAAAGTGGTCTGAGATGTGTAATATTGTGTAACATTTTATACACTTCAAAAAGTAAAGAAAACATTATGAAAATTCAATTGACCTTTCTATCAAAAAAACAAAATTTCTGTGAATTGTAGGAAATAGCAATGTCTGAAACCCAAAGGCCTCACTCAAGTCAATGCTGCTACAGAAAATTTGACTGTTAAATACATAAAATCTATATGGCAGCTTAAATTCTGCCATATACATTTGTGGATACTTCTGTTAAAGCCTACTTTATGTAACATGATACACTGTTTCAAAAAGAATTTTAAAACAAAAGAAACCACCACACTACCCAATTTGAGAATTAATGTTTCACATCACTGTAAGAGAAGGGAAGTCATCAACTTCTGAGAGCATTCCATAACCAAAAGCAAAAATGTGTTTCCAGACAGCAAGCCTGTTACACCACTCCAGGCATAACAATTCTGCCTCCTTTTGGTAACACATCTGCATCACTCACCTGAAAAACGTATGATGTTCTACACAGCATTTCCAGAGATGTTTGCATGTGATCTTGTTACGTGCTTCAAAAAAGAAGGAAGTTTCATTGCACTGAAAACAAAACAAATCAATATTGTTATGAGAGATTCTGCCAGTGAAGTGAGTCTCCATTTACCACCATAAGAACCTACCATCTCATATTGATTCTATGATATCAATGCACATAAGAAAATATATCAATATGAAGAAAAACAGGTTCTATAATTCTGTAGAAGTCTTCATTTAAAAGAGTTTTTCTTTTTTGTTTCTCATTGCCTGAAAATAACAATTTAAAGAATCAATTCCTTACATACAGAAAAACAGAAGAGAAAGGAGATTACTACAACATTTCTGTTCCTTCATTCTTGTTCGTAGGTTATCAGCTTTGTTCCTAATTAAGAAGCACAAAGTTTTTTTCAAAGAGTATGTTTCTGATGTTTTCTAAAACTGTACCTCAGGTATCAAGCAGAACTATAGTCCAATGCTATATTTAACAGTATACAAAAAGGCAAGAATAAGTGAAAGAAAGGAATTCAAGATTTGTGATAAACTAATATGAAGCAACAAGGCAAGAGAAAAAAATGCATAAAACATACATGTAGAGAAGAATCAAGGTAAGACTTGAAATAAAGAAGATGCGAGGAAGGAAAGGTTTTTTAAAAAATAGCTAACTTCAGAATAATTCAAAATACTAGGAAAAAGGACAAAGGTAAAAACCATAATATCCACCTTAAAATCTCTTAAGGAAGACAACAACTGGCATTCAATACAGGAGACATGAGAAAAAGGCAGGGAGAGATGACAGAAGTCAGACATACACAAACTATAAAATCGATCTAACAGACAAGAAGCAGCAACAGATGCATCACACTGTCTCCAACAAGATAAACATTCAAATATGTTGACATAAAATACATTTCCAATATACCTGTCACTCAGTATATTTAAGTGCTCAGTTTTGTATTTATGATTTGCATGGTACAATACCATCTGTTACAAAACTGAGTCCTAAAACTATTTCTCCTACATGTAAATTACAAAGGGATTCATACCACTTTAAGCAGCCAATTTTAGGAAATGGATGCCCTTGTGTTAGTTATACTTCTGCAGTGCCATGCATACGTAGGTAAAATTCTAGCAGGTTTCCCCCACTCTTCATTTAATGAGGTATGGTGACCTACATGCACCTTGCAATCTATGAAAAAAATCAGTATGTTCTCTAGAATTCAAAATTTCTCCTCTAACAAAAACCAATTATATCTCTATTAACAGCTGTCAGGCAGTCTCACAAAATCACAAATTATGTGCTTAAGAGCCTTTCCTCCACCTTGAAACAAGTAACAGTAAAAAGGACAGAACTTTATACCTGTGGTTAGAATAATTGAGGTTTCATTCTCTGACAAAAACAAAACAAACCCAAAACAAAGCCAACAACAACAACAACAAAAGAAAACAAATTGGAGATACACAGATGAGCTTATTTCCTCCCATGGATCATTTTACTTAGTTTAATGGTTGTCTGGAACAGCCCCATGGAATACCCAAGAAATGAAAAGCATCCTCTAGTCTTCTCCAAAAGCACATCTTCCTCTCTAGGGCAAGAAAGAGGAGTAAAATAAGGCCACTGAGAATGCTGGAGTGGCAAAGCCACTAAGAATGCTGAAAACTAGGATTTATCTGAAATTGCTATGCACAGAATAAAATTATATAGTAAATTAGTCCCACAAATATATATCCAGTTCCTTAGAAAATACAAGTTCAGGTGGATAGGGCTCTTCATCTCTCTGTAGGATTCCCAAGAGGTTTAACTTTGACCAAAAATAATTTATAAAAAGTAAAACCAGAAACTTAAAAACTGAAGCTCTTCTAAAACAGGAAACAAAATCTAATTAACAGGAAAAAAGAAGAAAATCAAGCTTCCTGAAGAATCTTGAAGATTGTCAAGGAGAAAAATCTATTTATACTAGAATTTTCAAGAGTTGCTCTTTCTCCTCCAGCAACCACAAACAAGAATCTACCCACTGAAAGATCTACGGCATTTTCACATTTTTAAAGTTTTAAGGAAGACATGTCAAGGGGTACTTTTCACTTGCTTATTTTACACATAACAGAAATGTGGGTTCAGATTTTATGATTTAATTTACACTACAATTTCTAGATCAGACTGTCATCTGATGTGATTTTATATAAATGCAGCACACAACCACAGTCACAAGTTCACTTTTAAAGAATAGTATCAGATCAGGCCTGTGGTATTGCAAACTTGATGCAATATGATGAGACAGTTTAACTTCAGTTAGAAAAACACCCAATGACTAACTTTTAATATACAGGATCTTGCTCTTTCTTTGTTCGTTCCTAAATTTTTCTTCTAGGCAAAGAATCCTCTGCTGCACTTAAATGTATTTAATTACATAATCTCAGAGGAGAGAGTTTGTGGGTTAGGGGAACGGTGGGGCAGGGAGAGCCAGCAGTGTTTTGGGTTTATTTGAAGATACTACTTAAAATAAGGTATTTCTGCCATATCTCATTATTAGTCCAGTTCAAATATCACTGAACTCAAGAAAAGATTCCTATCAAGAAATAGGTTCTACTTGTCCATTTTTTCTTTTTTAAGTTAAAGTTTTAGAATTTTCCCATATACAGAACAAACAGCACGTAACACATGAAAATAAATAAGTAACTAAAAGAGGGACAGCTAAACTGCCATATGAATGAAACATCTGACTAGCAAATACTACTGATTCTATTATTTGAAGGCATTCTTTTCTAAGGTTGAAGAAAGCTCATCTCAGCTAGTAAGAAAAACATTTTGATGATTAAATGCACACTGAATCATCTGTGCTTAGTATGCAGCAATCAAAAGCACTCATGGAAAAAACATCATAGCCCTATAGAGCCAATTTTTCAACAAGTTATGGAAAGCAGATCTGGAAAATGAAAAAACTGCCTAAAATAAAGGGATGGACCAAGAAGCTTTCTGATAAGACACTGCATTTGAAGGAAACGCACATCTCTTAAAACTATTGCCTCACAACAGATGCTTCAAAGAAGTCAAATAGCACGGTTAAATTTTACTAAAAAGAGAGAAAGCAAGTCCAAAACATTAATCTCCAAGGTCTTTCACCAACACAGAGGAGACAATTCATAATTCTTTCACTGTTTTTCACCTCTTCTACAAAGCATTCAGTAACTTACTGCAACTAAGTCCAGTATGACACTGCATACAGCACATCCAGGTTTAGGACTTCCTCTATTTACTGTTAAAGAATATTTAAGGTTTGCAAGTGTACTGTGATTACACTCACAATTTATAAATGCATATATAAAAATTAAGCGATACTGGAGGCAGCAGATCTTTCAGGTTTAATCTTTCTCCCCTAAGAGAATAAACTGATTTGTGTAAGTAAGGCAAAGATGACCTTACCTGTCAACATCATGAACTTTTGTTTCAAATAATAGGTAACATTTTTAACACCTTGAACAACTGTAATTTTTTACCCGTAGTGAGAGTTAGCTTTTTTTTTTTTCTGATTATTTTCATATATCTGAACCAAAAAAACCAAAGACTTACTGTACTTTTACTAATGATTTATAGGAAATAACAATTCCAAGCTCATTCAGTGCTGTTTAGTGCCTCACAAGGTACTCCCTGCTACTCATCCTGTTGCTATCAGAGTGGCCAGTTTATTAAAGTAAGGCATCATAAACCATGAAGGCTCACTGCTTCCAGAGCAGTCCTGGTCATCTGCACACTCTGAAGATTCCCCCTTTCTCCTCTGAATCAGCTTTGGCCTTTGTCTAGTCTTTCAGTGAGCCAGTTGTGCTCACAAAAGAGTCAGAAAACCACTTACTGTTTTATGGTGATTTTTGACTTACACCAGCAAGGGAGGGGCAGGATGACAAGGCCAGAGGTTGCAAAAGGATAGGCATAACCCTTGCAGCAGTATCCGGCTGTTGAGTTGTTTGACAATGTTCTCCTAATCCTAAAAAAGGCAAGACGCTAGACACACACAAAATATTAATCTTCTTCTAAACGCTTTAAAAGATTGTCCTGTAGTCTCCAAAGCATTCTAAAGCTCATGCTGCCATAGCCTCATCACCATTTTTACACACAGGAGAAAAGATAGATTAGCACAGGGGATGCAAATAGCTTGACTATACTACAAACATGCAGTCAGAGCCCTCATCCATTTTATTGTGCCTCTCAAATCAGCCAGAAGTCTGATGTGGCAGGGCCTTTGAGATCTCCACTAGACAGCTGGTAACTGGTACAATGCTCCACAATAACCCTCCCCAACTCAAATGAAAAGACCAAAAGCATGTTCCTAATGCCTTTGAAGGAGACAAGTCAGAGGGGTAATTGCTCTACCTAACCACAAAACCCCTCTGGAACTTCTGGAGCTCACGCTGCCCTTTGCAAACACCTCCCAGCTTGCTCAGCCATGCCAGCATGTTTACTCAGCTTTCAAGCTCCGAGCTGCTTTGTGCCCAGCTAGTTCAGTGCCCAGGCAGGGCAAGCTCAAGTCCAGCTGGAAGAGAAGACACAGACTTAAAATGACAGTTCTTCCCTCTGGGGGCCAGAAATTCCCTTGTTGGTGAAGTTCATGGATTACTCCAAATATGAGGACCACTGTCAGTAGACTTACACCTGTTCTGTGGAGCACTGCACCCATCCACAGATCAAAAATATTTTGAAAACCTTTGATGTAGAGCAGAAGATTTAGCTGATATAATTTATGACATTTATTGGTTCCCACAGACCCAGGCTCAGAAAATGAAGAAAAATTCAAATCCAAAACCACAATAGAAACTCTGTCAGCACACACGCATCTATTCCTAGTTGCAATGAATATTCATATAGCAGAAGGAGGGATCTTGCCTCATGACAGAGCGCACTGCATGTACATGTAATACAAATGTAACAGAAATAATAACATCAGCTCTGAAGCTACTGCTTCCCAACATTATTCTTCTGACAGGCTAGGCACACACCTGGATACTATTAATTGTTATCTACAATAGGAAATATTCTGTCTTTATATATTTACATAACGCATACTAACAATATC